CTTCCAATTCCCAGACGTAGTAATCAAGAGTATCATTAAGAATCAAAGTAGTTAAAAAGATGTGAAGAGAGACCTAGTTCTCAGAACGAGCAGGAGGAATCACCCATCTCCCATTGATGAAAAGCTGATGAAGAGTTGCATCTTTTGGAATCCCGAATCTTGAAACAGTTGTTGATGGTAAGAAATCCAACAATTTGCCAAAAGGAGACCAATTATCTGACCAAAACCTACAGGTAACGCCATTACCAATGCGCAGTTTTATCCAATTGTAAACTTCATCTCTGACTTTCAAGAGCTTGTTTGCTAACCAAGAGAATGATTGTCTTGGTTTCATTGTCCAGAAGCTTCCAAGTGAACCTCGCAGAAAATGCAATTTGTACCAAGCAACCCAAACTGAACCCGATTGAAAAAAGAGAAGCCAGATGAGTTTTATTGTGCACGCTCTGTTCCAAACGGTGAGGTCTCTAATACCCAATCCTCCTTGATTCTTCGGTTTAGTAACAGTCTCCCATGAAACTCTAGCACTGTGGTGGCCTTCCAAACTTCCTTTCCATAAGAAGGCACTGCATATAGAATGAATTTTCCGGATGCACAGTTTTGGTAGAACAAAAGATGAGCACCAGAAATTTGAAATTCCCGCAATGACAGTGTTGATTAACAATAGTCGCCCTACAAAAGACAAAGATCTTGCACACCAATTGTTTATTTTCGATTTTACTTGCTGGAGAAGTGGTTCACAGTCTTGAATACTCAGCTTTTTTGTACACAGGGGTACTCCAAGGTAGCGGACCGGGAGGCAATCATGAGTGAGGCCAGTGGTGGTTTTGATTATGTTTATTTCAGCCTCCGTCAGTCCTCCAGCAAAGAATGAGGATTTTTGAAGACTTATAGCCAGGCCTGAGCGCTGCTCAAACTCGTGGAGAACCTTGAGGACATTCTGAACAGATGATAGAGAACCATCCAAGAATATGAGTAAGTCATCTGCAAAGCAAAGGTGAGTGAGCTTTGCAATGTCACAGTTGTGGTGGTATTTGAAGTGCACATCCTCAGCAGCTTTGTTCAACATTAGAGACACATAATTCATGACCATCACAAAGAGGTAAGGAGAGAGAGGGTCACCCTGCCAGAGCACTCTCTTACCTTTGAAGTAGCCGTGAACCATTCCATTGTAACCAATAGTGAAGTTTGTAGTGCAGATGCAAGCTTCCAGCCACCTAAGGTATTGATCAGGAACCTCTATACTCTTTAAGAAATTGAAAAGAAATTCCCAAGATAGAGTATCAAAAGCCTTTGCAATATCCACCTTGATGCAAATTCTTTTAGGACCTTTTGCCTTGTGATATCCATTGACAATCTCACCAGCAAGAATGGTATTTTCTAGGAGGAGCCTATCTTTCACAAAAGCAGTTTGGTTCGGAAGGATAAGTTTCGGTAAGATGGGTTTAATTCTGGCCACAAGCAGCTTTGAGACAACTTTGTAGAGGGTATTGAGACAAGGTATAGGACGGAAGTCCCCAATTTTTGAAGCACCAGGTCTTTTTGGCACCAAAGAGAGAATAGTGGCGTTTGTAGAGGCTGGCATAAACGATGACTGGAAGAAATGGCTGATAGAGGCAATGACTTCAGGTCCAACTGATCCCCAAGCAGCTTTGTAGAACCCTGAAGTTAGCCCATCAGGTCACGGGGCTTTGTTTGGGTTAAGTTTAAGCATCACCTTCATTATCTCAGCAGAGGAGGGCACAACAAGCATAGACCGGGATTGTTGGAGAGAGCATCTGAACTGATGTAAAGACTGGAGCCAAACTTGAATTGTATATTTTATGTTCTCTTGAATTTTGTAGGGGTGGAGACCCAAATCCATTTGAGTTTCTTTGAAAACATTGAGACGATGCTGAATATCGATTGCCTTCACATGTAAGTAATGCGAATAAACTTAGATTGACGATTATGTGTTGTTTTAAGATGTTTTTGAACTTTTAAATACAAATCAATGCATGATGTCTTGTTTTCATAAATCTTTTACCGGAAAGTATTTATGGAGAGTTTTACGGGGTGGTGGACCCCGAGGTCCAAGGAGGAATGCACCTTGTGTCCATCTGTTAATTACAAACATCAAATTAATCAATCTAAATTAATTTAAGAATCAGAAAAGCAAAAAACACATCAATGGAATACGTATTTAATTTAAATTGTTAACGAGACTCACCACAAAGGCAAGAGAAGATTACATTTGGTTGAATTTTTTTCAATCAGTTTTATCACAATGATTTTGGCATTTTGCGTTTACATGACATCTGATTGATTTTTTGATATGGAAAAAATAAATTTACAAAACTGAGCAAAAAAAAAGAGTAAAATACAAACATAAAATAAGTAAAAATAAATACAGTTTAACTTATAAAATCGAACTAAATAGAAAGCTTGAGGAACATAATGACTAAGATTGTTCCACTTTAAGTTTATGTGGATGTAGAAAAATCATTCGCAATGAATTGCTGTCCCATGCAAACAAAAACAAAACAAAATATTTATTGGATTTCGTAACAACTTACATGACCAAGAAAGATTTCATATTAGCTAGAAATTCATGCACTTCGAAAGATATTGGTTTTGGACAAGTCCCTACAATTTGTTACAACAGCAAGAAAAAAATTCATGAATACATTTTCTATTTTATCATAGGGATACGTATAGTTCTTGAAGCTGAGTTAGATTTTGTATGTTGGTGGTATAACTCCACTAAATCCACTTGAAGATAAATCTCTGTTTAGATGATACAAGACTTATCACATCATATATTTTCGGGTTTAAGTTTTTTGCTAAGAAGATTGAGTTTGAAATTTCGAATGCTCTCACAATGTCACGATTCTTGGTGGTGTGGACACATCACTAACGTTGCAGCGTAAGCCAACAAACACAAAATTGTTTAGGACACATGGATCGCCTTCCCAAATGATTCTATTCAATCCATAAGTAATTTGAATACTTTTTATAGTAATGACAGAAAAATAGCGGAGAAATCTATAGGAAGAATTAACACGTAAACTTATCATTTATATGTGAACGTTAATATATTTAGTTTTTACCAAAAATATAGCCCATTAAATTATTTATTTAAAAGAACTCATGCAGTAGTTTGATTATGCAGAGTAAACCATGTATATATGACTAGAGTAAAACACTGACACTGTTGAGAAAAGAAGAGTTACAGTACTGTTATGTTATGTCGTAAGGGAAATTAAAGAAACAAAACATAGTAATGCACAGTTATATTTAATTTTTTATTTTTATTGTGGTCGAACTCTAATGTAAGATCAATATTTGAGCTACTTAATGGTTGAGGCTAGGCATGGGCGTTCGGATATTCGGGTCGGGTTCGGGTCGGGTTTTTCGGGTTCGGGTTTTTCGGGTTTAGAAAACTAAGACCCGTTCGGGTATTTTAAAACTTCGGGTTCGGATCGGGTATTTCGGGTTCGGATTCGGGTTTACCCGAAGTATCCAAATATTTAAAAATTTGTATCTGATTCTATGAAAAGTATTGAAAATACTCAGAAAATCTATAAATTTTAAGTATTTTATACCCTAATCTAACCAAAAGTAGCTAAAACACCCGAAAATATCTTAACCTCCGAATAATTTAGACACTTAGACTATTACAAGTATAAATATTACTAATATATTATAGCTATGTATTTCTATTTCGGATATGTTCGGGTACTTGTTCGGGTTCGAGTTCAGGTCGGGTTCGGGTTTGGATTTTCGGGTTGTGAAGTTTAGAACCCGTTCGGGTATTTTAAAACTTCGGGTTCGGGTTCGGGTCGGGTTTTTCAGGTCGGGTTCGGTTCGGTTCTTCGGGTTCGGGTATTATGCCCAGGCCTAGTTGAGGCATTAGCATGCGCCTGAACGTGAGTGGTCGTCCGTGTACCTAATATTAATTGTTAAATATTTTACAAATAAGAAAATCGCTCCACTAATAATTAACAAATGAGACTTTGCTAATTCATATCATTATCTAAGGTATTGTGAATCCAACCTATCAAAGCACTAATCGATAGAACTATGATAGTGATTAAAGTCATATAATCAGGAAACACATACATGTGCGGAAAAAATCCTAGACTACTACAATAGACGGTCTTAACAGAATTTTTATAAGAAAAAAAAAAAAAAACAATCGTTCTGTCTCGTTTTGTAACTTTGTACACTAGCTAATATCCACACATGGGCAATTGAGGTCACAAGATATAGATGAGCTACACTTTCTTCATTATCAACAAACTTATCGTCATAATTTATCATACCAAAATATGTAACCAAGTAAATTTATAGATTAGTGTCATTCTTGTGTCACCATCAAGGCATGAACATTTAAATCCGCATAATGTACGGTATTGAGACTTTACAGATCTCCATTCGAATTTTGAAGATCTCCAGATGAGATGATAATCGTGAATTGTTTTCTTGTTTATGATGCTTATCACTCCACGTTTCGATTTTAGGCATAAAAAAAAAAGAGAGTGAAATTGGCTTTTCACTAAGAAGATGTCTTTTTTTTTTTTTTAAACTTTTCTTACTCTTTTCGAAGTTTCAGTTTTTGGATGAGATTTGTGGTGTTACAGGACAAAGTCACGAATATATCCACTATTTTTGACGAGCAATCTTGGTTATGCATTGCGAATTGCTCACTTTGTTATTAATGGTTTATTGAAATCTAGCTATGTATGTTTGCGTGTCTCTCTTTTGATTAATGGTTATAGAGTCTTCCTTTGTTATAGTCGTTCTCATTGCCTCTTCTTATTATACGGCCAAGAGATCCATGCTCATCACTAAACTAGCAATCTTGGTTACGTGCGAGTTGCTCACTTTGTTATACAAATTGATCTATCTGTTTTGTGTGTTTCTTTTGGTTTCTTTAGTTGCTCACTTTGTTTATTTTTTGATAATTGCAGCAACCAGTCTTTTTCAAGATTATATAGACTAGAGGACAAGGCCGCAAAGAAAGAGCGAATTCTCAAGAAGATTTGGGCTTTCGGCCGAACCAACAGGCCCATCTTCTTCTTTCTTTTTTTTCTTTTCTTAATAAAATTATAAAACTAGGGTTTGTGAGAAATTGGGTCGTGAGAGGAATGGGGAAACGGAAGGAGAAGAAGAAGAAGAGCAAGATGTCCAAATCTTCCAGGTAATATCAGAGAAATCTGATTAGAGGTCTAAATTAAAAGCTATTGTTCCTAGAATCTGAATATGATCTCCCTCTTACTTGTTCTTCAACAGAGCTAAACTACAAAGGCTCAAATATATACAAGTTATCGAAGAATTGGTATGTAACTCCTGCATGTTAATTGAGAAGAAGAAAAAAAGGTCGTATTTTTACAACCTCTCTTGTGTGTTCTTGCAGGGAGCCGAACTCGTGCAGTTACAAATTACTAACGAGTAGGACTCTCTTCCTGAAATCATCCCGTTTTTGGTTATTAATCTCTTCAACTTATTGAATCTATATATATATTCCAGGAAATTGAATGGTGACGGTGTCGAGGGTCTGAGCTACACCGAGCTGGAATCACTTGTAAGTATTTTAAGGGAGGGACAAAGCCGTGTAATGGAGCAACAGGAAAAGGTATTTTCAAATCAAATCATCTTATGTTCCTGTCAACTCGCATTATTTGTTTATGTCTGCACTCCTTAAAACAACCCTGTGTGTGTTTCTTTCAGGCACTTTGTCAATATACAGTCAGTCAGGTATAAAGTTCAAAGTTTTACCCTTTCTATATGCATATATATATATATGTTATATCCATTTTGACCTCTGAGTACTCGTTTTCCCCCAATTAAGATGGCAGAGTTCCAAGTTATGGGGGAAGAATGGGTTGAACAAATGGCGAAAGAGGAACACGCCCGTCAATTTCTTTTGTCCAAGAGAAGAAGAGAGTTTAGGCGCAAGGCTAGACAACTCCGGCTCAGGTAAAAGGTTTAATTTGATTTTGTAGGCCTTCTTTGATCATCATCTAGGTTTTAACCTTCTTCTGGGGACACAGCTCTCTCGATTCCCCACAGGAGCTCGAGCATAGCCAGGACCATACAGATCTGGTGGAACGCATTGAGTTGTTGAAGAGCGAGAAGGAGAGACTGGTGCTTTGGAACCAGTATGTTTACATTTCCCTAGCTTTTAAATTTTCTGCTATTGTCACTCATATTTTGGGGGTTCCTTTTGTCCTCTCATTATAGGAGAATGATTGGTAAAGAGCTCGACGGTATGGATCAGTTCGAGCTCGATGTATTTCTGAGTGATGTCAACCTTGGTCTCCGCAGTGTGCGGGACGAGATGATGAGTAGAATCCGCTCTACTAGGCAGAGCAACAAGCAGAGCAACGAGGTAAATATCTATCTTTGTGTTGTTAGATTGTAAAACAATCTCTTCTTCTTTTCTTTTCTGACATTTCTCTTTTTCACCATATATCATCAAGGAACTAATCTCTCAGACTCAGAGCAGCATCAAGGAACTGAGCAGCCCGGGAAAGATGGACGAGATGCCTAGAATTCGAGCTAGTAGCAGCAACGAGGTAAATATCTATCCGCGTGTTCTTAGATTGTAAAACAATCTCTTCTTCTTTTTCTTCTGACATTTCTCTTTTTCACCATGTATCATCAAGTCAACCTTGGAGTTCTTACAAGTTCATACCTCTCCCTCGGATGTCAGTGGTCTAGGGTGTTAAACACATTTTATATCAAAACACATTATGTTCTTCATATATCATAGGACGGTAAGCATCATAACGAACTTTCTCTTTGGCCACAATTTCAAATTCTCTAGTTTCATTTCTTTTTCTTGCATAGAAAAGATTAATTAGATTTTCAAACTTCATGTAAATGGTAATTGTTCATATATATGAAATTTCGCGTTTTGATACGGTCGACAGAAAGTAAATAAATATACATTACAGAAGAGACAATCGTAGTATAATGAGATATATTGTTGAACAAGCTATTATTGCAAAAAGTTGGTGAGAACCCACAGCTTCCGCCTTGACAGGGAGGTGCTCTACCAATTGAACTACAATCCCATGAAAATCAAGATTAGAAAGATAAAAGATAATAAGGATTTGTTAGGTCAAGAATTGGAGCCTCACTCTATTGAAAAGAGTTTTAAAAGAAATCGTGTTGTTCTTAAATTTATGTTTTTTATTTTATTTTATTTGTTTGTTAGCAAAAATATGTGTAAGTTAATCCCAAATTTTCGGTTGGTTGTTTTTTTTTTTTTTGGGGCAAACAATTCGGTTGGTTTAGTATCAACAACAATTTGTAATACAAAGTTTGGGGCCGATTGGTAACGACTGTTACTTTCGGCTGTAGAGACTTTCGCTGTAATGACTTTGGCTCTAGAAACTTTGACTGCAGAGACTTTCACTTTAGAGACTTTAATTGTTAAAATATGATTGGTAACAACAAAACTGTAGAAATTGTGGCTGTAAAAATTATGATTTTAAATAAAATAAATTACAGTGAATATAAACCTAAATTATGATATAACAACGGAATTCATACAAAGAAATTTATGAAAAGTTTTTATACATTCATATTTCTCCATTTTGTATCAAATGTAATATCTTATGTTTTTTTTATATACATAAATGGATCTTAAAAGAACAGAAAAAAAAAATCAATTATAAATTAGTTAATACATTTTTAAGATTAATTTTCCAATGAATTTTGTTAGAGGTTTTCATATAATGAGAAAAAGAAACTAAGAAAAACTATTAATTTTTATTCTTTTTACTTTTAAAGTCAGGTTTACGTGGTTTTACAAAAAATTGAATTCAAAGAGTAAAAAAAAAAAGAAGGACTTTGAAGGCTTTAAAATTATTTAAAGCCAAAAAAGTTTGATTGACAAAATAAAAACTTTAAAAACTTTAAAACTTTTCTAAAGCCTTAAAAGTGCTTACCAATCACTTCTTTGTATTGGAGTTTTTGGTTCTTTGGACTTAAGTAAGTGGCCAAAATTTTAACAAAATGAGCCATATCAAAGGAATAATCGTAGGCCCAATAAGAGGTAGCACAAGTGTTTTTTTTATAGAGATGATAAATTTTGTCAGTAGATTTCGTCTCGATGATCCCGATAATGTCGTCCAAGAGAAAGAGTAAGACGATCACGACGACGAAGAAACCACCTTTTAAGTTGTCACCGGAATCGACCCCAAATCCTTCACTTCCAGATGATGTGTTAGTTACTTGCTTAGCACGCGTCTCGAAATTGTACTATCCAACTCTCTCCTTAGTCTCAAAGAGCTTTCGATCTCTCCTTGCTTCACCAGAGCTTTACAAGGCCCGATCTCTCTTATGCCGCACCGAGAGTTGTCTCTATGTATGTTTATACATCCCTCCTGAAGCTAACACTCGCTGGTTCACTCTCTGCCGGAAACCTGACCGAACCCTAGTTCATCACACCAGTAAGAAGAAGTCATCAAGTGGCAATATTTTGGTCCCAATCCCATCATCACAATATACTCCTCCCCACTTGTCGGGTCACGCTGCGGTTGGTTCCAATATCTACCACATTGGCGGCGGATACAGACGTTCATCTAAAGTATCAGTCCTAGATTGTCGGTCTCACACGTGGCGTGAGGTTCCTAGTTTAAAGGTGGGGAGGATGGTGTTCCCTTCTGCTAGTGTCATTGATGGAAAGATTTATGTAGCAGGAGGTTCCATAAAAGGCGAATCAGAATCCTCGGAATCGATGAAGGTTTTCGACACAAAGACCCAAGTTTGGGATTATGTCCCCATCCCTTACTTAGAGCAGTACGCAGATTGGCTAACCAAAAGTATATGTATTGAAGGAAAGTTGTATCTGATGATCAGGAATAAGGTTTTGGCTTACGATCCCGAGGGAGGTAAATGGGAATTGGTTGAACAAGAGATGGGTAAGTCTTGGACGAGGTTTTCTAATTGCGTGATTGAGAATGTTTCTTACTGTTATGATCTTGGAGTATTAACGTGGTATGACATTAAGGTGAGATTGTGGAAACAAGTTAAGGGTTTGAGAGGACTGCATCATGAGTTTGCTGGTTCTCGTTTTGTTAAATTGGCGGATTATGGTGGAAAGATGGCGGTTTTGTGGGACAAAGATGAGCGTGGCAGTGAAAACAAGATGATTTGGTGTGTGGTCATTGCGCTTGAAAGACACAACGTTGAAGAGATTTGGGGGAAGGTCGAGTGGTGTGACGCGGTGCTTACAGTTCCCCGATCAACTTTTTTTGAGTATGCTCTTGCTGCTACTGTTTGATGAATGACATAACTAGCCAAACTTAAATGTGGTGAATCTTTATTCATTGTGGGTTTTATATCATTTTGTTGGATGATTATGTGTCTTGTGCCCTTCCATTCATACGTGACTATGATGAATGATATTAACCTAGCACCACATAAAATGAGCTTTTTCAGATACAGTATTTCCCAATGATATTAAAGAGTCAGAAGTACAAAGCACATCTATCTATTTTATTATTTTCATACTAATTAACCTTTTTCACATCAGATAATCCGTACTGGTAATCTAGACATTGTTAGAGTTTTCTTCTTATGTTCTTTTATTATTAACTTAGGGCTAACCGAGAGTGTCTATAGATACAAAACGATCTGGTTACTCAAGATGGTCTACATGTGTTGTACACTTCTCCCCGCAATACATCAATCGGTCTATGTTCCAAAGTGTAGCGCTCCGGCCCCGTGTACACCCCTGTCTTCTCCAATAGCCCCATCGCTTCCTCTCTTCCGTATTTTGACTCATACAGCTTCAAGTACTCGTAATCCTGATTCATTCTCCAAATAAGCCAATTGGAACAGTTCCTCGTTGTTATCTGATTGGTAAAACTATAAAGTTGACGTACCTGTAAGCCACTAAGAAGGCGCTCTAGCCTAAGTGAAGCAACTGGCTCTGAGGAAGATGAGAAAACTTCACCGGGGTAGTAAAGAACTCCATCACCAGGAGGAAGACCGCGCCTAAACTTTACCTATTCATTTGGTTATATAATATCATGAAGCAATCAATCAAGAAACATTTACAATGGAACTAAGGATAAGAAAATAACCTCGGCGCTTGGAACCGTTGCCTTCTCATAGCAATTTGCACCCCAGTACAAGAACCCGGTTCCACCTTCTTTCCACACACGCCACATCACTGCCCGTTGCTGTGTTCCACGCATCCCCAGGTGCCAATTTGGGTGAGGATCTGAAGGTCCAAGGCATATGTATGTCCACCATTCCTGCACCAGAAAGAGAAGTCCTCTTTATGATTCTTGTTGCTAACGCATACATAACCACTAAAGAGCACATCATTAAGATGACCTTGAATCAAATTTAACCATTCCATTACTCATCAATCATAGAGTAGGTGTGAACAGTAGTTAATGAACTTCTTCAGACTCAGTTGATTGACATATGATGATTCCATTACTACCGATGCAGTAATGCTAGATGTATTCATGTACATGTGCGAGCTTTTTCATAGCTCATGATAACTAATTAACTATATTGACCAAACTCTATTCTTAATTTCTGTTCAGTTAAGTATTTTTCAGGTGTACGGACCAGCCGATTCAAACCTTATTGAGAATAGCATAGACTTCGGTCATTGGATATATTCTCTGAAGAAGAAATAAAAGGGTTGATGGAGATCTGAGAGACCCTACCTCACCATTCTCTGTCTGCAATTCGTGAACAATATCCTTCACCAAATCCTCCCGGTTACCAAGCACCCACTCACTGAATATCAAACCATGATTTAACACTGAGTTACAAGATTAAAGTAACGAGAGCCTAGTTGAAAACAGATTTCTCTATAGGTTCCCCGTTCCCCAAATTCATCTGACAATCCTGACTAATAGATTTATATACTAACCTCACAGGCCTGCATGTCTATCCAAGTAGATGAGTGGAGTGATACAGGGCGGAAAAAAAGGCAAATTTAAGACCTAAGACGTATTTGCTCAAAATATATTAACAAAGGATGTGATTTATTGATTAATTGACAGATGATATACAATTTATTCTGAACCAATTAGGTGTCTTTTGATAGGTATAAACACCACAAACATAGCACACCTACCGGATATGAAATTAAAGACTGGTAAGGTTAAGATCTTGTCATCCGACTGTCACAAAACCCAAGTAAGCGAGGCTATTTATTTGAATGATTAAACCACAGCCACCTAAGAGAATTTGAATGATCAATTACCTTGTGCAGTATATTTGAGTATGGGGTCGAAGAAGATTTGGAACTTTGACAAAAGATTCAAAAGGTGTCGGAGCAAGAGGTGCATCACCCGGTCCTACAAAAAGAGTAAAGACTATTCGAATAAACTTCTCAAGTAACTAATGTTTTGTAAAATTATGAACTTTAATTCATTGCCACAACTTAACCTAGCAGATTTCAGTTCCCTTTTCATCAACATACAGAAATGAATATCCATAAGCTCTGTAATGAAGCATATCAAACAACTACCGGACCATTGTGAGTTTGTGACAACTGCTTAAGAATTAACGTTACACAATAAACTAACATTATGGGCTGCATAATAACATAGTGTGGGATACTGATCAACCTACTGATACAAACTACATTTATGGTTCACCATTGACCAATTTTGGAGCTAATATCAACAGGAAGACAAAGCCATGAGAACCAATAAAACAGAACCCCAGCGGAAAATAGGAAGTAAAATCAAGAAACAGAGAATTCTTAAAACATGTGAACTCCACCAAAAAAAAAAATCATACCACAGTAGTATGTAGTCAAAACACGAGCATCCGGTGCATAGGCGTAAATTTTACTGGCCATCTTGCGAACGCTGTCAAAGTGCTCCATATTCAGTGGCTGCCAAAAAAATCGAATGGTTATATGAAAGCTGTCAAGAAGAAATCTCAAGTAAAACAACACATCCACTACACCAAGGATGGATCGTGAGATATAGAAATGACATAGAATGTTACTATTACCACAGTAAAACTATACATACCCATAATCAGTGGGAAAATTGATTGAAGCATACCTCATCCCACAAGTAAAAGTAAGCTTTTTTCCAATGGGGTTTATTCCTCAATATCTCAACTTCTTTCCGCAGATAACTTTCCCTTGAATCATCCCTGCTTGCACATCAACAGGCAGATGAAAGTTAGTTTGGGGTACCTACAACACTAAACAATATCTTGAGTGGGATAACACATGCACACCCTGCTATAACTTGTCTATACGGTACTGCATAAGCGGCAAGCCTTGGATCAGAGAGATATTCATCAGATTTTGGATGATCGGCTGTGAAACCAAAAAGTGGAATGCAAATGGAGAAGTCAGAGTGTGCAGGAAAACGATTAGCTTGCACAATGCAAAACATATACAGATGGTGCATAAAAAATTAAGAAGAAGATTTGCAGTACCAGGCCATGGTGAGGTGTATGTCAAGACACGCATGCCTTCACCCCATTTGCAAAAGTATGGACTGATCCGATACTGAAGTAGCCACTTAAAATGGAGATCCAATTTCTCGTACCACTCTTCACTTCCACGTTCAACACCAAAACGATCCTCAATAACAGTGTCAGAGACGCCAATTACAGAAGGGAGTGATGGAGTCACTGGAATAATAAATTCCCAAACTGTCAATCTTAGCTTGATACGCAGCGAAAGGTTTGAAACAACATCTTCTTCCATCATATCGGTTGATCCATTCATAGAAATGAACTCCGAAAATGATGGAGAGAAGAGAATTCTTCTTAATGACGAACTTGCACATTTTATTCTTTCTACCTAAAAGATAAGCTGCAGATCATTGACACGTAAAATATCTATTAAGGGTGACGTAATGAAGTACAAGGAAAGTGAATATTACCACTTCATCCATGGGTTTTCCCTCTATTGGTTCCATAATATCAAGACAGTTATTAAGTTCCACACATAGCTGATCTTTCTCATGCTTTCCCAAGTGAGCAGAACCGCTGTAACCAAACACATAATTGGTAATCAGCATGTCAAATCCATGATGAACAAAATTATCATTTACACACAACACACTGACATTAAGAGGAAATGTAAAAATCCGAAAGTAGATCAAAGAAATAGTTAACAGAGGAAGACTCACCCTCCATCCGTTTTCATTGCAGAAACAATGATCTCTCCCTCATATTGACCAGGAGGCTGCCCATTAGGAACGTCTATTGAGACCCAAATCACACTTGTTTCTCTACAACATGAAGCAATCCAGGCTACCTCAGTCTCACGAAATAAGACAGCAATGTCTCCGCATACCAGATTAAGAAATTAAATTAGTGAGTGGTCGTACCCTGGAAATAAGCTAAGTTGAGAAACGGGTAAATCAAGGGGCACCAAAGCATCAGGAACACCTAAGACAGGTACCACTCGCCGCAAGTTTAGCGACTGGCCAACAACCAATCTGCCATAATACAGGAACCATCTCAAATAATAAAAATTTTATATTTTCGAACTGTCAGATACCCTTTACATTTTCGCCTCATTAAGTCTCATTAGTTTCCCTCGTCTCCAAAGAAAAGAATGAAAAGAAGCAAGGTTTAACAGCTCACCTATCTCCAGCAGAGGAGCATAAGTCACTGCACTGAACCTGAACACTCCCGGAAGGGCTGGAAGCAGCCCAAGAAACTTTAGGACGCATTGCGATCTGAAAACTTTCTCTCTCATTTCTAGCCGCCAAAAGATTTATCTGCAGAAGACGATATAGCAGCCATATGTAACACAAGCATCAATGCATACAAAAAAGAACGATAAATCTTCCGTGGGTTATTTCAATTAGTGATTAACCCCTCTGAAAGAGATATTCTGAATCATCCCCACCCTTCAAACTAGTTCATCGAATAGGACCAGGGTATCATTCCACTGAAATATTTACAGCTTATTTACCAGCTACACAACCAACTCCTTTCCAAACAAAATGTTGGTCATCGATAACTTTTACATATTTCTCAGATTCTTAACTATTTTCTAAGATCTTAAGAAGAGCTTTCAACTATTCAGAGTCAATATATTATTACCTCTAAAAATGTACAAGGAAACACCTAACACACCATTTATTACTACCATATAGTAGAAATAAAGCACAAATAAAACACTTACAGGCTCTAGAGGACGAGGTGTTTCTTGTGAACCAACATTAACTGTATTAGGCATACACCAAACATTCACCAAATCAGCAGTTGGAACCTCTGCTGGATCCGTAGATTGTTTAAGTGGTTCTGCATCATTAAACCCATAAGCCGTTCCTCCACCAGCCACTCCTTCTACTGGCACAGTCATCTCTTGAGATCCTACAAAATTCTCAAAAACGATTTAAGATTTTCTTCAACAATCCACTTCTTCTTCTTCATTTATAAGCTAATTTCTACAATCTTCCAATACCTAAAAACAACTACTTCAACAAACTAACACACAGTTAAATTAGCACAAACTTGTGTGGAATCAAAGGATCATTTCCAAAATCGAAGCTATCTTATGAAATATTCAAGCGTTTCGTTCTCAAACAAAGCACATCGAGTGATAATTTTTCCGATACTTTCAACAAATTTTTTCCCAACTCCTAGAGAGATAATCTCTCAAGCAAACGACGGAGAATTGCGATAGTAAAGAAGAAATTGAAAATTGAGTATGTGATTGTACGGAAGCGAATTGACTCTTACCATTGTTGTCCATTTTTTTTTTCGCGAGAAAGTCGCAGAAAAGAGAGAAGAAAATTTGGAGATTCTTTCAGGGCTTGAAGAAGAAGAAGAAGAAGAAGAAGAAGAGACGATCGCGTTTTGCGATAAATGTTGTGAAAGGAAGCAAAACAACACGTAAGGAAGAAATAACTCCTAGCTTTAGTCGTGGCTAAACGGAAAAAAGTAGCTTTCAGGCTTTTTTGCTGCAATATTCTTTTGGGAATTCGCAAATCCACCTTATTTTGGAAAAACCACTTTAAATTTGTTTACCATTTAATTTTTTTACATATTTTGAGATTTGTTTAGTTGATATTACAACCAAAATCATATGTTATTTGATTATTGATTTTTAAAAATACTAACATGTCATGGAATTCATTTATGAAATTTTATATTATTTGTTCACTTTTTTTTTAATGAGGAATAAAGGGACTATCGACAAATTGGTTTAAAATGCGGTTATAAACTTTTTAAATTCAAAAATCTTTATAGCCATATTTTATCTAATTAAAATTTTTAATGATTTGATATATTTTTTTGTTCTTGATCGACACCTTTTAAAAAAGCTAATAAAATATGGTTTAAATTTTATTTTGTTAACACTCATTATTTACGGTCAAAGTTTTTAAAGTTAAAACCTAAAATAAAAACACACAACAACAGCTCTAATTAATCACCCCATAATCTAGTAGGGAGAGTTTTTCATATTCCGATTTAAAGAATGCGGAAAGTGTGTATGTTGCATCATCATAAGCTGTTATTTGCCTAAAATGTGTTAGTTTCTTAAGTGCTTAGTAGAATTTGGACTGATTCGGAAGATGAGTGTGTGATCTCTTACCAATATGAAATCCACGAGGCTCACTATGGTTGGTGAATGCGAATGTTTTGCCTCCTATGTTGTGCTTGTCGGGACCAAGTAGTGAAGACTACTACAAAATGTATTTGTAAATATGCTAAAATCTCAAAAATACGATATGATTGAATGCAGCTCCCGCTTGAGGAATTTGAAAACTCTCTTCTTCTTGTTCGAGTGATAGACGACGGCAAGATGCTCTGTTGGGTCAAAGGAAACAACAGATGATAGCTGTAGTACCCCGGAGACGGTGCCGCTAGGGTCTTGCAAATGGTGGTTGACAAAAGAGAGATCATGTTTGATGAGTATAGCAAGATCTAACATTCCTAAAACAACCTCTACTCTTATGCTGCCCCCGAACATGTTTTCCTAAAAACTTTCTCAAATCTAATTTGATAATCAGAAACCGGTTTTGATGTCATTGACAGCGTCCTTGGAGGGATTGAGGCAAGCTTTGGTATTGTCTTCTGATAGAGTAATGAAGACTTCTTTCGAGAATAAGAGTTACGGAAGCGGGATGCTCATAATTCAGTAACCAAAGCTCTTTCTTATTACCATCAGCCTCAATACACACAAGCTTTATACACAGGTATATGTGTGTTGTTGCCACGCAATAAATATTTGGATTTGCATTTGAAATGGTTCCAAATGAATTTATGACAAAACTGAAAAACTTACCCAAAAACCTTAAGGTAACAATTTCAGCATAGTAGCAGCAGCAACTACAACGGTCAAAGCAGGCGCAAACCAGACCAAACAGCGGACTAAGACCACCTTTGACGGTTGTAGCAGAGCTCTACGTTCCATGGCTTTTAAAGGGTGAGTCTCCTCCTCCTCCTTTAGCTGGATCCTTTTGCAATAGCACATCATGATTGATTGAAGCCAATTGTGACAAATTCTGCATCATAACATTCTGTTTTTATTAACAATAGCTTATACTTTAATGGTAATTTTCGCAAGGCAGAACTACCCAACAACTTCAATCAACTAAACTGGGATTCATATTCTGAAAAATAAAAGGTGGATGCTGCGATTTTACCTTGAAAGAAAAGTTAATGAGCGAGAGATAATAAGGTGGAGAATCAAACTTCTCCAGGTTGGTGCATTCATCCAACTAAAAAGATACAAAACCAGGACAAACAGTTTGCAATTGATCCGATGACTGGTAGTACCTAGAGAGAAAAGGATGCGAGTTTCTAAATGCCTACCTCGTCTCCTGAATCTGGAAATGACCCGCTGTTGTTGTCAGTTTCACTATCGCTGCCACTGTTTTCACAGAACCGTGATACGAAATAGCTTGTGTCAGCTATACTCTCAGGCTGCGGTACAAAAGCAGCCTGCGAAAAAGCAAGAAAAGGAAAGGCAGCTTAGATTCACAGCACATTTCGCCCTTCATTCATAAGGTGCATTGATGAAGACTTAATAGCGCAAAGCCTGCAAAGCTTTTTTCTCTTTTCTTTCTTCATCCGACAACTAACATTTCTTTAATAGCATAATTTGTTTATCAAATATTTCTTTAATGCAAAAAAGAGATGCAGAGTCGAGTTCTTACCTTTTGCAAAGCAAGATTGTCCCAGTCAACTCCTTGAAAGAAGGGATGTGACTTTACCTGAAAATGAGACCAGAGCGGTTACTGAGAATTTTAGTTAAGACAACAACATCAGCATCCTTCTGTTGTAGCATGCATCTAGAAGGTCTTTGTGTCTCAATTCAGCGGCATTAATAAATAGTAAAGGGAAAAGTGATGGAACCTCTGCAGCCCCATTTGCCCCCAGTCGCTTTTCCGGCTCATGGACAAGAAGCCTATTACGGAAAGAAAGGGAATCTATATGAGTATGGAAGAAACTAGTAATACGTCAAACATATACCGTCATTATATACTTATGCCAAACTAAGTTCCCCAATGTAACATGAACCAGCTTATATAAAGCATTCAAATCAGCTGATGTTCTGGGTGACCAATATGAAGAAACTAGGATTGATGTTAATTTATCGGCTGGAAATGTACTGATTTAGTGATTTTGCTTAGAGACAAATGAATAGGACTGGGAAAGACCAATTATAAGAAAGCGAGAGCAGGATTGAGAATCCTCAAAACATACCTGTTAATCAAATCCTGAGCTTCATATGACATTTCACCTGGCACATCTGGCCAGGGCATTTTTCCATTGAGGATGTTGTCAAATATTATCTGTACAGCACAATTAAAAAGGTGAGTCTGTGTAAATTGCACACCCATTGAAAACTAGATTGCGTGTAGAACTCATCTCAATATAACTGATCATAAATGAATAATTCAGAGAATCCTTTGCTAAGAAGACATAGCTGCTATGGTTTAATCAGATATATACATATAAAATCCTCAGTGTTATTGTGAAAGGGAAATGAAGCAATCAAGTCCCAAAAATGACAAACCCACAATCACATATATACCAAAATACCAACTGAATTTCTGTGATTCCATTGTTTAAGATGCCTAAGGAACATTGGACTACAATGAAGAAAACATATGATTATGATACCACTAAGCCTTTATGGATTTAAAACTTTCTGACAGCTCCAGACCTTGATTCTATCCTAGTCAGGAAAAAACCATGCTTAGTCCAGCAGTAAATTAAAATATGTAGGCACCTCTGGGCGGGCTGCTGTAAAAGGTGGAATTCCAGTTATCAATTCGAACAAGACGATTCCAACAGACCACCAATCCGAAGCATAACCTGCAAGCCCAAAAAGTTGAATATAATTTCCTATTGCTTCAGAAAAGCCTAAATATAAGGTTGTATCCAAACCGTGTTCAGTTCCAAGAAGAATCTCTGGCGCCAAGTAGTCAGGCGTCCCAACAGCTGAATGACGAATTCTTTCTTCTTCTTGGTTCTTCTGAAAATGATGAGAACTTGTTCTTGGGGATACATCTGACTCATGGCCAGATAAATCAATTGTGTTGTTTATAAGACCAATCTTTGAAAGCCCAAAGTCTGTTAGCTGGTAACAAAAATAATAATAAGTTAGGTGGTAAAACAAAGTACTTCAACAACCAAAAGGGAAAACAATATTAGCATATGGTTATTTTCATATTTTTGTACAAGAGTGAGAAAACAATCTGTTTTTGCACATGTGCTGCGTATAACTCTCCTTTTTATCAAGTAAAGAAGAACATCTTTCACGTTTTTTTGTATGCATTGAGGACAAAACATTTGACCACCTAACTGCAAGAAAATATTAGGTACGTGAGCGTTTAAATAACAGACCTTGATGTGCCCATTATAGGCGATTAACAGGTTATCAGGCTTTAGATCACGGTGCACAATTTTCAGAGAATGGAGGTACTCCAATGCAAGAACCTGAAATAAATGAGAACTCTTAATCAAGGAATCCAAACAAACTTTGGTATTCCATGCATATAAAGCCTTCAAATTACCAGTTCCGCGATGTATATACGAGCAATTTCCTCGTCAAGACAGCCAACTTTCTGGAGCAGAGAGTATAGATCACCACCATTGAGATATTCCATTACCAAGTAGAGATTATCTCTGCAGGTGAATGAATAGAAAAATCGAACCTGCATTAATAAGATCAGGTGTTCAGCCTTTGATTAAACATTATAGTTGGACAGTAGCAAAGAAGTAAAACAATTACCAAAAAGGGGTATCTGACAGTTATTAGTATATTTCGCTCTTGCAGTATCCTCTCGATATCGTTTTTCCTTATCATATCCAACTTTTTGAGTACCTGCATATGAGCTAAATATAATTAGCACATGGACAAGCTGATTCCGAATAGTACAACGAATAACATTGCAGCAATTAATACAACATAGGGAGCCAGGATACTAGCATGATTCACTTATATGAGCTTTTCAAGTAGAATTTTTATAACTAAGAATTCCATCATAAGAGTATTGTCATTATGAAACGTTTGAACAATATGGCAACAACGACAAGGCTGTCTAAAATTGGACAAAAAGCTGCTATTTAACTATATTTACATTTTATTCTTGTCACTAAAATATATGGTTCAAAGCCCTGCGCATATCTATCTGCAACAGAGCAAAATAAACACCAATCTATCTGCATCAAAGCAAAAACAAAATGTCTACCTTTATTGCAAAAAAGTCCCCTGTTGTTCTTTTGCGTGCAAGAAAGACTTTACCAAAGGCACCTCTACTTATTGGTTTGATGATCTCAAAGTCATCGATGCTTATCCTATCTTTGAGCAGTAACTGTGGAGTGGCTGATGCATGCTCCAAGACATCTTCACTCTCTTTAACGTTACCCACTGAACTTTTATTGGCAGTCAATTCACGAGCATGTAAATATTTCTCGCTGCAGGTAATATAAGAGTTAGTAAAACTTATAGAATGAGCGCAGTAGTTAGTATTCTATAGCACAATGAATTTACCAGAGAAGTTTCTCGATCCGCCCCCCAAAAGTATCTATTACAAGTGCTTTGAGCTTGCCCTGCTTCAAGACAGCTTGTATGTCTTGCATGCAGGCCATTATATAGTCACAGGACCCCTCTTTCGAGAAATCTGTGCTTGCTCCACAGCGGGCAATATCAGAGAGGTCCATCATCTGCAAGATGAAAAAAACGAAGAAAAAAAATCTGGAATATATTATGGTTCTAAATGTTTATTTATACAAAGATCAGTGAAACAGGTAAGAAAATGATATCTATATGATCTGGAGAATAGAGACCCGCCATGGACAAGTAACAAAATAATGAATCAGAAGGAGTTGAAGCTAGGGACTCGCTAAAACCTAGAGAGGTTATAACGAGAGGAGAAATTCTCAACCCATCAATGGCATCAGTAATACTCGCAAAATTTTGAGCTTCCAAAGTTTTATTGATTAAGGCATTAAAGATTCTAAGATTCTGACAACACCACATAATTGATTTAAACCAATTTATACTTCCAACACTCAGCAGGATATGACCCAATTCAATATATAAGAATGGATACTGCAAGGCACAGTAGTAAACTAGTACAGCGACATATAACGTTGAACCAATACCTAATCTGCCTAAAAAGAGAATATAATGGAAACGGACAACTAACCAGTTGAAGATCCTCTTGCTCTGGACAATGCCGTTCTAGCCAATAGGAGTCAAAGTGACTTGTTCTGGGGGTATTTGTTGAAGATACTGACGTGATGCTACCTGTTGATGATGAAGTGGCATGATGGCAAATTTTGGCCCCTACATGGCTCTTAAGATTAATAGGATATGTGTAAGACTCGTCTATGAAGGCAGTGTCCATCTCATGCAGATCCTCGAACATCCCCTCTAAACCTTTATTCCGCCATTCGTTTATCTTGGGAGAACAACCTTCAGATGCAACTCCAGATTTCCGCAGAACAGAGTTTTCCAGGCCACCAACTTGAGTGAAGGAATTTAAACTTCTTGAATCAATTATCTGTTCCAGTATCTCCTCAAGTTTCAAAAGGCGCTCATCAACATCCAAACAATTTATTTCACATTTATCTGCGTATGCACATATGTAAGAGTGCGGTTCCAGATGGGAGAGAGGAACTTCCTCCTCACATATCCTGCAGATTACATAATCAGATCCGCTTAACTCTTTTCCAGACTCATTTGGCATCTTATCTTCATACTCATCGCTCAAATAAAATCTTTGTTCTACCACTTTACTATCAAATTGAGGTTTCTGTGATGGAAATTCCTGTTTAGCAGCTGCATAACCTTCTCTAGCAGCATTATCGCTATGATCATTTGGTATAACATAATCAAAACTTGTCTCTGACTCCAAAGATTCTTTGTCTTGTCTTTTGAACTTTTGCCCAGCTTCATTCCTTTGGTATTTAGGATAACCAGAACCAGAATCATCAACTCTAGGAGTAGAACCCCAATCTGTTTCCAAAGCAGGGATGCGTTCTAAACATTTCTTAAATTTGCGAAAGGAGCTCTCATCAATTGGCTCAGTCTCCTTCTGAAACATCACAACTCTTGTACAATGAGTCAATATAAAAAGCAACTGAGAGAACAACCACTTTACAAGTCCTGCTTGGCACTGTTTCCTTTTTCTTGTTAAGTCTTGGACAATAGATTCACAAGTAGCACGAAGTTGAGCAGATGTCATCTCCATACAGGATCGAGCCACATCAAGTAACTCCTCTGCCATTTCTCGATCTTCAGGACATGATGGATCCATTTTCTCCATAGCCTCTTTCACATCTATGACAAAGACATCCAGCTTCTTATCCACAGTCTCTTTAGCAACATCAAATCTTGAGTGAAGTGAGCCCAGAAGTTCCTGAATATCATTGCAATTGAAAAATAAGAACCAACTAACATAGTTAGACCCCAACAAAATGAGTCATTGGACTAGCTATATCATATATGGCACACAGATTTTACTTGAATTCCTTAAATTTTTCGAAAACAGAACTCAACCCTGAGAAGTTTCAACAATTTGTAAAGCAATATCTTGCGACAATTTCAAACTCAATTAAAGAAAAATCTAAAAGTTAAGACCGTAGTAGAACCTTCAGATCGTTATAGCTGTGCGGACGAGGGTAGGGAGTTTGAACACCACCCCTTGGCCCTAATTCATGGGAAAAGCTCTTTATACCCATTGACTTGGAACAGGGAAGGTTAGTTTCAGATACCTTGATCATCATCTCTTCGTCTTTACCACAGTTCTTGCCTCTTAACTTAATGTCCTGTGACCAAAACAAAGCGGTTAATTCAAAGCCACTGCCGCCCTTTCATGGAAAAACCGAAGCAAAACCACATATTACCTCACTACTCGTTGTACTCGAGCAAGCATATTTTGGAGGATGACAAGAATACTTGGGTTTATAGGAAGCAAGCCACCTCGACAACTTTGTTCCTTTACGCTCTAGTAGATATACGAAACAGAGAATTAACATCACTCACCAGCAACAAAAAATTTCAACTACAATATATGAATCTACATAGCATTTTTCTAAAATCCAAGCTCATAACAAATTTTTTTTTTTTTACTATGATCATGTGAAAATTTTGATTTCTTAATTGATCATACAAAACCAATAGCTAACAAAATGATTCTATAACTTAGTACTGAAAAAAGGCCATAAATCCGTGCTTGTTCCAGGGAAATCAAACGAACAAAGTAAAAAAAAAAGTTCATAATCTTCAAATCAAAACCTTGTTTGGAAGAGCCAGTGGTTCTACCATGTCCACGAGGAAAAATAATCTTCTGATTCCGATTAAACGGAGGTTTTACAACGGTATCGGACGAATCTTCAGGTCTAAGACCTGACGAAGCTAACCGAGTTTTGATCCGGTTCAAACCAGAAGGAATCGCAACTGTAGAAGAAACACCTCGATCCATACGATTCTCTTCCGCCATAGCAAAATCAAGGAGAAATTCCGAAAAGAAAACCCTAATACCTCCAAGCTCTGGCGTCTCCGGTATGAAGAGCCGCTTTCATCGCCGGAAGAAGCGACGAGGAAGGTGAAACTAGGAACGGCGATAAGAGAATCGGAATCCAGAGTGAGGTCGGCGATGAGGAAGAGGACGACGATGATGATGATGAGAAGAAGAAGAAGGATTCATGGTTTTGGTAAGAGCTCAAGTGCTCAATGGGGTTGGTTGGTTTTTAGGCTTCAACGACTCGCGGCCGTGACATCTTTCAATTTTTATTTAATTTTTTATTTGTCATCTGTTACCGTTTCAAACTCAAAACATTTATTTTTTTAATCAGCAAACAACACATGGAAAAGATATACTGATTCGATGTTAATTAAAAAAAAAACAAAAAATACTGATTCATGAATAATAATAAATTGAAAAAAATCTTTTATAAAGTATAAAGAAGATCAACTTACATTGAAAACGAAGAGAATCAAGAAAAATAACAGATTTGCTAGTCTGCTAATTGCATAAGAAAATAATATCTAATTTACTTTTCCGATTATTTTTTGTATATATATATATATATATATATATATGTTTATTGATAAGTCTATATAATTTCTGATTCAAGTTAATAAATAGTAAGATGTTATAAATAAAATTATTTTTACCAATTTAATTTTATGAGCAAACAGAAGATTATACCGATTTTGTTTGTACATCTATGTCAAATATTTATGAATAATAAAACTGTTTTTGAAAAAAAATAATGATAATAAAACCATCTATTAAATGCTCCTTAATAAAACACCGAAAATAAAAAAATGGTCCTCAATAAAAAAAGGGTGGACAAACTATCTAACTTTTAATTTTTTTACTTATGGGAAATTTACAAGAATAATTTGTGTTGTTTTCAGAATTAGGTCCAATTATATTTATAGCATAAGTAAATCTATTATCAATAAAAAAAATGACAAGTGTTTTTATCTTTTGGCTAAGAAAAGTAATCAATTATTTGAAACAAAACATATAAATCTTCACATCATGACTAACCTTTTTTTTCTTTAATTTTTCAAACTTACAAACATTGTACTACAAAAGTAGACGAATATCTAGATTCTTAATATTATATATATATATATATATATATATGTAACTATTACATTATTTATAAATGATATTTGTTATTTATAAGTTTAAAGTTAGAAACTTAGAATGATAAATTTATTTTACAGTTATATTAATGTAACAAGCTTGAGAGAGTCTGTCCCAAAATGGTTTGTGATTCGTACTAATCACCAACAAGGCAACAACATCCAAAGTTCTTTGAATTTTGCGGTTCTTTGTAACCCTGTTTTACATTCTTTAAAATTCAAAGAATTTTTCCGTGGTTTTATTTTTTTATTTTGTAAATAACATTTTTTTTTGTTTTTAATTATTTTTAACAGTCAATGATATAAAAAAAATTATCGTAGTAAATAATTTTCATTATGAATATATGATTTTAGATTAAACAAAATGCATTAAAATATAATCAACTGTAAACTTCTTAGTAACATTCACTGTTGTTTTACGTAGTAACATGAAGTTTCACTAAAGTTTTCACATAATATAATATAATTGTACCATGCATAGTCTACTGAGAAGAAAATTAATACCATAGTCTTGAAAATTTGACAAGGCTCGTCACCTTAAATAGTGCATTCATGTAGGGAAAAAATCTATACTATTAATTGGGAAGAACTACAACATTGTGAGGGTAGTTTAAGACTAACTAAATGAATTTTTACATCGGTAATTTAGTAAATAAATAACTACTACAACTAAATAAATATATTTGATTCGGATCCTTCATTAATTTTTTGCAAAAACAAATAACGAGATTAAATGATCCAAGATTGATTAAAATATTTAACATTTAATTAGAGTTTAAATGATATAAAATTTTAAAATATATTTTTTAAAAAAATGGGTAGTTTTCATTATTTTAAATATATATAACTAACCTAAATTTTTAATATATTTTTAAAACGTACTATAATAGTTACTATATCTCCAAATAAATTATTCAATTTCAAATCAAATAAATTATATTATTTTGTATCAAATTATTACCAGATTTTGGAATACACATTCTTCTAGAATTGATTATTTCTTTTTCAAATAACATTAAAATAAATTTAAATACAAAGGTTTTAATTTTTAATGCAAATATTTCAAAATGAGAAATATTAAATTTAAGGAACTATTGAATTTAAATCAAGATGACTAATTTAACTAATTACAAGCTACTTTTTAATTTACACAGTTTTTATAATTAATTCAAAATGATTCTCAAAATTTATTCACATTAAACTATCTCTTAGTTTTATGATTTTGTTAAGATTAGTTGATAGATCATTTATTTTTTCAATTTGTAATCATGTTTTAATTTACGGTATGTTTACAAATTTTAACAGAACATATGTTAATCTCTAAAACTTACAACCGTATATTGTATGGTGTTTAAAGATAAGCAAAAATGAACTCGGAAAATGATATTTAATGTAATATAACGAGAATAGGAATTATGAAACAGGAACGACATGGAAGGAGACAGGACGGGATAAAAACATAGATTTTAGACTAGAACAAGTTACACTTCAAACAAATTAACGTTTGCAATCAAATATGTAACATGTGTTTTCAATTTTTATAGCATAAAAATGTTCAAAATAATAAATGTTATTATAGGATGTTCTATAATAGTTAAAATTAAAAAAACAAACAAATGTAATTTAATATTTATGAACAAAATATAAAAAAATAAGAATAAAGAAGTCAATTATTTTTGTAATATTTTTATTATATCATCATATAAAATATACAATGAATTATATTTGTGTTTGTCCCAAACAAGATATCGAGAATTTTTGTTTCCGTCACGTCCTGTTTCTAATCGCGAATACAAAATTTGTCTTATATTAGAAATGCATTCTCTTATGAGATATAAATTGGAGAACGGGTAAGATATAATGGAACATGATAAAATTGAATGGGAATTACGTCTATCTCTAAATATTTCTATTTCTTGCAAACGTATTTAATCATTTTAACGGTTTTATCTACGGTTTGATAGTTTACAAGTTTAATGTTCACAAGTTTAATAAAAATCTACATGACCATTAATTCGATTCAGTTTGATCTTGGTCCGACCGTTTGATTGTTACGAATTTTAAAATACTATTAAAATTATTATTATTTCAAATATTTCAACCAACTGATATGAGTTTAGGTTATAGATATTATAACTATATAATATTTTTTTTACATCAATCTAACTTATATTATATTTCAATCTAAGATTTTTTTCTAATCTACTCTTCAGTTTCAAACTCCAAAAAATGACTTATGGTTGCTATTGTGTCATAAGCAAACATAAATAACATTTTATACTTTTCTGTGTACATTATAATTTATTCAATATAATATATATCACTAAAACAACAAAATAATCATATATTTAATAAAAATTTATTACAACACATTTCTTAAAATATGAAATCCCGCACGTATGTGCGGGTCAGGATCTAGGAAAGTATAAAATGTTATGGATAAGATTAGTCAAATCCCTCAAATCTACTTGTTTCACTGTCATAATATTCACATTCTATTCTAAAATGGCCTCATGCGAAGTTCATGTTTAAAATGGCCTAAATTTGAAAGTTGACGATTTGACTAACAGAATAGTTAACGGCTGATAACGGCTGTTAGTGGTTCCGTTAACGAATTTTAACGTCATGTCTATATTGGCCAGGTCAACGCAGTCTCATGTTTAATATGACAGTCAACGTTTAGTTGATGTTTAAAATGGCCAACTATGAAGTTCATGTATAAAATGGCCATTTTTTGAAAGTTGGACGATTAAATGACATTTTTCCCATTCATGTAGGTTTTTATGTTCTCTTTGTAAAACTTTGAACATTTCATATGGTTGTGTATCCGTAACATAATCTTTTTTTTGTCAAGCCGTACAATTGTTTCTTGATTTAAAATATCATATAACACTGAGATTAAATCAACGATATTGTGCAAGATCTTTTTTCTACATGTCCACTATATAAATTCCCTTTGAAAAGATATTATGATATGCATCAAAAAGATAATGTGAAAATTACAATTTCTAATATCTTCAAGATTTTGATCGATGCATGTAAACAATTATTGAAATGAATACCAAAAATAGTCTTCTATTATTATAAAAATAATATAATAATGAGTAGAAAGATTTTGCATCTCTGGATACTTCTTTTATGTTTTCTGTGATCAAAGACTTGGTCGAAGAAACACTCATGTAACTCGATCGAGTTGTCTTTTTGTTCTAAATAAAAAATTAACTTCATCTACAAAGATTAAAAATGTATGTAGATATGGTAGAACTAGAATAAGATATGTTGAAAAAATATCTATTTACCACTAAGCTTGCCCGTTCGTATATATCTTGAATATATATAAAAGGATCCGAAATTTTATAAGATTTTAAGATTAGTTTAGCTTTTGGCTTACAATGATTCCGATTATAAGAAAAAAAATTAAATAGAAGAAGTTTCGAAAGTATGAGTTCTTTTTATTACAATATAGGAGATGATTAAGAAAGAATGGCAATGGCGAAGAATCAAACAATGAATTAATATTTGTTTTATCAACTAAGAAAAAAAATCAAACAAACAAACCAAATGTTTGTGATGAACTAATCCTACCGACCACAATTCATACAAATGTATATAAACTAATCCTACATACCGACCATAATTTATAGTATATAGTATTAAACCAAATAGATGTTTGTAAATTGTGAATCGTGATATAGTAGGCATTATTGCACGAGCAACGTGACTAACTTCTTAGATTCTCCCGTACGTTTGTCCTAAACATAGAAAACACCAACATAGTACATTTGTATATACACACTTAGCTTGTTATGTATCTTTATTAAACATAAACGTAAAATATTGTATAAGCGGATCTACTCGTAGCATGGATAATCACTTAGTCTAACAATGAATTACCAAGTATATACAATGAGTTTTTGTGACGATTAACCGTTGAAGTACTTTTGCTTGATTAATTTTTCATTGTCTTTCCAAAAAGATCAGATTCCTTGATATATGTTTATCAGAAGTCAGAAGAGGTCATCTAAACCCTGATTCTTTTTTGTTTATTTTTGACTCCACATAGACACTTATTATATCTAATCTTGAAACCGTCCAATGGCTCCCCTAAAATCCAAGCAAGATTCAAGCAAGGTGTTTTAAAAGATCTAATTAATATATAGTTTAGTATTAAAAATGGACAACTGTATGATGATAAGATATTACAAAATTATAGAGAATTTTCAGTCAATGACAAAAGTCACAAAACGTTATATAACAAATTACAAACATAGTTGTGCCATAAATATATAATTGTCTAAATACTTTTTGGACGAGATAGATGATTTTACCTTTCAATTAACTACTATGCGATAGCCGCCGATATGTAAATTTTTTCACGTAACACATTTTGTTTTATATGGAGGGTAAAATTGAAATAAAATATTTAAATTGTATTTTTTTGTCAACATATTTTTTTTTTTTTTTTTTATCCACAACATATTTTTTTTTTTTGTCAACATATTTACATTGTCCTAATTGTCATTTTTATTGAAATGCACAAAACTACAAACTATTACTTAACAAAAAATTTACTTACAATTGGTAAACAAGCTTGGATAGAACTTTAGGCTATATATGATGTGGCTAAGAATTCAATCTCTCTTGTGCAATGGTCACTTTATACTTAGTTTCTAGAAGTAAACCAAATATGCATACACTTTTGGATGTGCAGTGATGCAGATTTGTACACGAATGTGATATGGTTGCCGATAGATTTTTCAATGCAAATAGTTAGTTAGCCCGCCAAGTTGTGAGGTCGATGGTGTCGCCGCTCGTTTCTCTTATGCCATATGTAGCAGTGTAGATCGATGTTTGACGTGCCAACCGGATGTGACCAGCCTAATTACCATTTACCTAATGTCTCTCCAATTTTTTTCATTTACCTAAAAGTTATATATACTTGTGTACTCATTTTACTTTTGGTTCTCTCATTAAACCAAGTTGATAGATTGATTGTAAGTTAGCTTCGTTTCTCAGAAGTATATAGTTTCATATGGTTTCAATTTGTGACAACTTTTGACTTTAAACCAAAGTCCAAAGCTCAAGCATAGGATTATATCTAGCTCGGCAATTGTTGAATAAAACACCTTCGTTGACAAACTCTACATTTTTGGGTATTATTTTACTACTAATTGGACTCACTAATACTAGAATAGCAATTTTTGTGGTCATTAGTCCTAACAATGATAACCAAGCAATTTCCTAGATTCCTTTGTCAAGACTTGATCCACATTAAACAACCGAAAGAATTGAGACTTCTTGGGAGCTAAATTTCCAGGTTCCATGTAGTTTCTGCGGTCAGTTTTGGTGGCTTCAATTCCTCGGCTAGATTCATTGATGCACACACCTGTTGAAACCGTAAGAGAAACTCATTAACCACGACTGAAAAGGATCCAATTGGCTGAGTTCTTATGAACTTCTAAAAACTCGATTCAGGCAATCTTTTAAGATGCATTGCACCAAGAGAAGTTCTAGTTCACCTTCACATTTACATGTTCAACCGAAACAAACCAACAATAATAGAGCAGAAGTTAGTTTCAAACCTATTGGAAACCCCGATCATACAACCAAATATTCTACCCAACTTCCAGAACCATGTAAGAGGAACTATTTTCCTAACCAAAGGATTCTAACTCAATTCTTTTATTAACACTCTCCCACGAATCACGATCACACCATGCATCATTTATGCATTTAATGAAGACCACACACATGCCATTACGGGTTTTGCATCACCCATACGAAATTTTTATCATTGAATAAGCTGCACTCTTTCTTAAATTCTTAGAAGCAACAATGAGAAAACAACATGGGCTGGGTTAAGAAGTTTTAACCTACTAGATAAAAACTAAATGTCATTACAAGGAGAGCAATGTAGTCTCCTATATTGCACATATATGCTTGTTTTGTAGCGTAAATCTATTTGTTTCATACTGACGTGCAAAGCCACAATTCTAGAGAAGAGAAAGTACCGTAAGAAGAAATGCTAGGATAACTGTATATAAGAGTATCTAGTGTCAACTGTTGGGATAGTGATATATGCAAAATTCAATCTACCCTGCCAAAAGAAGTTGCGCAATGAACAAAAACAGAGAAGTGAAAATAGTATTAACCTTGAAAGATCCAGTCGATTGAGAATTCCTCGACCATTCCAAACCAAGCATCTTAGTAGAAGTCTGATAAGTGGCCTTGAGATTATCACCACCATAAAGTTTCCGAGAAACCGCAAAGTCCCACACATTCTTAGACAAGTCATAACATGGCTCAAATGTAGCTATCCCTCCATGAACATAAGTATACTTTAGCTTACAGTTCTTTGTGCCCACCATGTAATTAGCAGACAACTTGTTAGCCGGATCAATCACAAGACTCCCGTCAACAATTGTCCGATTATCTCCTCTCATATGAATGTAAGTCAGATTCAAAGGCGTCTCTGCAATTCTGATAGTGTTCATGAACTGAAACCTAACATCCTGCAACATAAAAACCGAATCTTTCTACTTCAATTTCACTCATTTTCAGAGAATCGATAAAAATAGTTAACATCATGCAGCATAAAAATCGAAACTTTCTACTTCAATTTCACTTCTAACCTTGTATAATCACCAAAAACTCTAACTTTCTCAGAGAATCCAAACCAATTTCATCTATTTCTCATTTCTTATTGGTTTGAAGCTAAAAGGGTTAGCTTAAAAAAATGGGAATAAAAAAAGGAGTAACCTTTTTAGGGACGTTGTAGTCGATGATGAAGAAGCCAGGCTTCTCGACGGCGAGAGAGAGGCCGTTCAAGCTAGGACCGGCGACGAGGGAAGTATCAGTCATGGTGGCGCGTAGCTTAGCATTGCCGGCGTTGAAGGAAAGCGAAGCAACGCCACCGCTCTTGTCGACATCGAACTTTCCCTTGAAAGAAGCCTTCATCATCACCACACTATAGCCGCCGCGGCCAGTGTACTCCTCTCGTTGACCCCTCTCTCTTAAAATATGTCTTCTTCTAATGGTCGACGTTTTTTTTTTTTTTTTTTTTTTCCCATAAGTGTTATCATATATTATATAACCTCAAAGTACAAGGTTCACTGTTACAAAAGTGGAAGCTTCCACAAACACACGGTACAAGACTTGCTTAAGCATACAACATCAGATTATCGAATGGATACGATAATCAACCCAAGTCTATAAAAAACTAAAGATTTCACCTCTCTGTGAAATTCCGGAAATGATCTACCAAAAGAGTTCCAAGGATCACTTCCCCTTATTTATTTTGATATTTTCTAAAGAAATTATCAATTATTTGGACATTTCATCTTGATTTTCAAAACCTATATTTAAATCCAAAAAAAGAAATTATGTTGAAATAAATGACCAATTTATGTTGATTTTTCTAATAAAACAACAAATTTTTGTTGATTTTATAAATTTAGACATAAAGTTAAAATTATGAAACGGCGGAACAAACAGATTGAGTTTCGATCCAAAATTTCCAAACAAAATTATATATATATATATATATATATATATATACGACGTCATTTTGCTAATTAACGGAAGCTTATTAATAGAAACATAATTCCGTTTATTTATTTCATTTAGCGGTTTAACGATGTGCCTAAAAACAAGAGTTTAAGATTAGATAAAAAAATCAACAAAAGTTCGATATATGATACAAACTTGAGGTTTTTTTTTCAATGAAAACTCATAGTTGAACTCTTTATGACATTTTCCCCAAAAATCATCGGAGGAAAGGAGAAAAAAAAGAACGGTGTAGTTTAAGCGATAGATGGCGGTTTCTACAATTGTATAGTCGGTTGAATTAATGTCAGATTTGTTTTTTTTTAAGTTTTAATGGTGATACTTTTTTTGGATATCTTTTGATTTCACGAATTGATGAAAAATAGAAATAGTGGTTTCTTCAATATTTCCAAAACCGAAGGTGATAGAGAAATACTCGATATTCCGCCATTATGCGATTACCAATCGCAACCATAAAGACATTCAAAATCATTAGCTTCCAAACTGATGGTGGTAAGAAGGTTTTTTGTTGTTGTTATACACACATAAATGAATATATGTATGTTAATATGATATCAAAATTTTAAGGTAATGCAGCACCAGGTTTGGTCAAAGTGATTGAAAAACTTATCAGGGATAGAATATCATCGCTGAACTCATCGACGATAGGGCAGCATGGAGACCTACAATGTCGCTAGGCAGCCCTGCGAGGTCCTAATGTCCCTCTTCTATAGTTTAAGCATTCGGTTTTAAAGTTTCTATTTGAACCAATGTTTATAAAAAATTTTTGTATAACCACTTTCCATTATAAATAAATTTCACATTTAAACAAAAAAAAGTTTAGATAGTGATATCAAAAAAATATCATTTATTTTATAAAATACAAATTTAATTTAGATGAATATATATCAAGATTTTAAAAACACAATACATATAAATCCAAAGAAAAAAATAAGAAAAAAACTCAAGGAAAAAAGTTTGGATTTCTACATGTTAACCCATATAATATAATCCATCGGAGTTTTTTGGGTTAATCCATTAAAAACCAAAAACGTATCGAATTTTTCAAATTTGGGCTTTTTATGGGCTTCTTAAGAACATATAGCCGTTTCGTGGGTTTCTTCATAATGTATATAAGGCGTTTGAATTGTCTAACGTCCTTTCACAATTAACTTCTTTGGATTCGGTTCCAACTTTAAATTTAAGAAAAGAAAGCCGCGTGCGTTTGGTTGGGACGTGAGACAAGGGACAAAGACAACTTCTCAAGTTTTAATTTTGCCAACTTGCTTTTCCCTTCTTTCTTCCACATTCTATACTTTACCAAATTCACATTTCATTACAAAAAAACTATATTCATTACTATATTTTCCAATATTTGTGATTCTTTACCTCTTTATTATCTCCATGTATTCAATTCTCTCTCTTTGGTAACTGCAACTTTTTTATTGACCTTTTCTTAAAAAAGTTGGAACAATTTTGAAAATAATTGTCTTGATAAATGTGAATTTAACCTAACCTATATATATGTAATAATAATAATAATCTTCTCTCCGGATTCTATTCTCTCATTTGGTTTGTGTGCTTCGCTTTCGCTTTCCTCAATTCTCTTCTTCTTCATTATTTTTGCCTTTTCCCTCTTTTCTCCGCAATCGGTTTCTTCTCTCATTGTCTTTGACGAACAATCTCTCTGAGCGTTTCTTTGCTTTCTCAACCAAAACTTCCTCAGATCGATTTCTTTTTTTTCTGGGTTTGTTCAAGCTTCATCGAAATTTGGTGGGTTCTTATTATTTTTCTGTTTTTTTTTGTTCATCTAAATATTCAATAGAATCTCTTTATGACTGGAACTGCTTAAAAATTGAGTCTTTGAAATTGGGTTGTGATATTTGAATCGATCTCTTTGTTTGTTTGGCAAAAGGTTATTGTTTTGTGATTTCTCTGTGGTGTTTTCTAGTTTTTGACATGGGACTTTGCTAAAGATTTGATCTTTATCTTATTTAATGATTGGTAGTCTTGTTGTAGTTGTGTGAATTGTTATAGGTTGCTTGGTTTTGAAGTTCATGTGTCAAATTTGATAATGTAGCTTTTGTATCTGATTGATTAAGTATAAAGCTTATGATGTTATTGAGTTTGTGGTCTTAAGATTAGGCATTGCATATCTTGAATTGCTTAGTTGCACTTTTCTTTGGCTTAGTGAGAACCAGTTATGTTATTGATTGCAAAGCTTTTATCTTTGTTTTTGTTATTGAAAGATATTTTGTTTCTTCTTTTTTATTGTAGTTTCCAGCGTTTGCTACATTGTTGAAAGTGGTGAGAGTCTCTTGAATTGTCAAGTGTCAACTGTCGTTAACGCTAGGATGCAGGGAGAGAGGGCTAGTCTTGGTTCTTTATCAGAGGCCTTGAACTTTGAGCATGGTTCTACATCTAGTAATGCTGTGATAGATCAGCAGATTCGTTGGGAGAATATTCACAATTATGGTGATAATGAGTTGCAGGATTACATGAGTTCAGCTGCTGATACAAATCCTACTTTTGCAAACTCAGTTTATCATGAGCAACGGGGCTTACACAGGTTTAACATTGGTGAGGCTAGCTCTAGTGGTACGAAGAACGAAGCCACTAGTCACACTGAACAGTGGAAGGGAATTGGACGATTTGAGGAGCGCCCTTTGTTTGTGCAACCATCTAATGGAAGCCGCGTGGTTCGCAATGTCAATCTAAATGCAGAATATAATGAGCATCTTGAGGATATGAATCCGGTCACAGGTCATCCTGGTCATTTTGAGGTTAATGGACTCAGATCTGGGCTGTTACCAGAGAACAGTGGTGTTAGAGCGGGCTCCTCTGTAGATGGGCGTCGTGCATCCTGTAAAAGAAAAGCTCTTGATGCAAGCATTGGTCAGTCCTCTTCAAGCGGAGGTTTCCGTGAGTTCCAGCATGGAGAATCCAGTTCTTGGATCTCAGCTCCTGCGTATTATAGCCAACCAATGGCAGCAAGTGATTTAAACATATCTCTTGATCATGGTCGAAGGGGTTTGGTATCTGGCGCTGTTCCAAATCTATCTGCTCCTGGCATCACAGAGAGCTCTAGTAGAAATTACTCTGTCTGGGTTAATCCCGCAGATCAACAAGAAACCGTAAGCCCATCTGTCTTTGCTGCAGGAAGTGTTAGCAGACAACCGGTTGTTCCATCCTTGAACTCACCAGGGCTTCTACCAACAGATCAACAACTGATCGACTTGAGATATGGACATGCTTTAGGCAATTTTGCTTCTCAGAACCCAAATGCTCCTGCAACTCATATGCCCCCTGTTTCTAGAAATACATTTCAATGGAACGCTAGCCCAGTGGCAGCGGGTTTATCATCGGTTTCTGCTACTCCTGTTGACAGAAATGTTATTCATCGAGATGAAACCAGACACAGAAGTAATAGTCTAGAGATTCCCTTGTTTGTCCCACCTCCTGAACTGAGAAATGTGGTGCATGGTCATATTAGCAGAAATACAAGTGGTGCTAGACATGTTGCATCGTCTTCATCCAGGACAAGTGTTCAGCCATCACCGTCTAGTCCAGCATTGAATCCTTACCAGAATAACGCACCACATAATCAAAGAAGATTATCTGAACACTTTCGTAGGTCATTGCTTTCTTCCCTTGCTACACACCAGAGAGCTGCTCGTTCCTTGGTCCCTCCTTCCTCTCCGGATGAGCATGTGCTTCAATCTGGTGGTGTTAACACCTCTCAGGTGCATAATCGGGCTTCCTCGAGAGCAGGTCCAAGACAAGGGCAAAATGCAACTGGCATTCCTCATTCTTTGCGAGGCTTGGCATCCACAAGTCGAGGAAGAAGCAGAATGGGGGCAGCCGAGGTTAGTTTCATATCAAGATTAGTGTTTCTTATAGATAGTGGTGTTAGATTTTTGTTCATATTGACTGTAAATCCTATAGTTTTCTCAAGCAACTGCGTAATATAGAGCTGATACTGTTCTTCTCTTCTGAAACAGATCCGTAATGTCTTGGAGCACATGCGTAGAGCAGGGAACTTGCGTTTTGAGGTACTGTTTTCGATTTGTGTATAAACAAAAATATTTTATCATAGCACATGTTAATGCTACCTGTCTTCCGTATGTATTTATTCAAACCTAGATTTCACCTACCTGAATGGTTGTTTAATCTTTTTTTTTTTGTGGTGCTTTATTCAGGATGTTATGCTTCTCAATCAGTCCATGGTGCTAGGTGTGGCTGATATTCATGACCGATATAGAGACATGCGACTTGATGTTGACAACATGACATATGAGGTAAAGCCAGAGCAAACCCATAATCATGTATTTGCTCATCATACTAACTGTGAGTATAATATCTGCAGGAGTTGTTGTCTCTAGAAGAGCGGATTGGAGATGTTTGTACCGGTTTGAATGAGGAAACCATATCAAACCGATTGAAGCAGCAGAAATACAAAAGTAGTACCAGTTCTCCACAAGAAGTAGAACCATGCTGTATTTGTCAGGTAACAACAATATCAGATTTGCATAAAGTTTGTGTCACAATCATGTTAACCATTATGGCTTGCACTTTTGATTAATCTTATTAATTATCATGACTTGCTGGTTGATTAAAATTGATGCAAAAACTGCAGGAGGAATACAAGGAAGGAGAAGATATAGGAATGTTGGAATGCGGGCACGACTTCCATAGCCAATGCATCAAAGAATGGCTGAAGCAGAAGAATCTTTGCCCCATTTGCAAAACAACGGGATTAAACACTGCAGATAAGCCAACAAGATAATGATCCAGTTCTAACCATTTGTCGAATCTTCAACACCATTGCAGCCTCATCAGAACACTGCAGGCAAGTTGGTGTCTGCGTTTGGGGTTGACTGAAGATAGGAATGAAGGGAAGTAACTGAAGGAGATAGAGAGAAAAGGAGAACATAAGAAAAAAACTTAGGTTCTTCTGAATTTGTTTGGATAAGTTAATTTTACCAATTAGTTTTTTTTTTTTTTTTTTTTTTGTTATTTATGATTACCTGGTAAAAGAAAAACCCAAGAAATCTTGTAAGCCAATTTGGCAATTTATAGATTTTATGGAAGATTGATTATGTAATTTCTTATTTATCTCATATCCACATTGGATCTATCAAAATAGTAAAAGCTATGCATATTCTTTGATTTAATTCAAGGAGGTAACAGTTTCTTAGCTTGATCATCAAATTGATGAAATCCACAGAATCAGCAGAGGCACTTGTGACTTGTGGATTGCAGGAATATGGGCCTACCATTTTTTGATATCCTTTGTTGAGTTTTGATTTCAGTGGAAAAATGAAGTAACATAAACTCTCTCTGTTTATTTTTAAGTGTTGCAAGGATTTTTAACACATTAAAAAAATATATTATAAAACCTCCACTTTACTGCTTACTAATATATTATATAATTTATTTCTCTAATTAATATACTAAAAGATTATACTCTCTTTGTTCCATAATAAATAAAATATATGATGTTTAAGAAGCTTATATATATATTATAAGATTTCCATGTAGATTTTAAAGTTAATTGATATTTTTGACTCTTTGAATTCTGTAATATTTTTTATGATTGGTTGAATATATTCTTAACTAGTTAATTAAATAATTTTTTGTTTTCAAAAATATTTTCTTAATCTTGTATTGTTATCTAAAATATCTAATATTTTGGAAGAATAACCTTTTTTAAAAAAGGGGTTTACTAAATTAAGGGAATAAATTTAAAACTTAAAACTGGAATATAAAAGGATATTTAATTTAGAAAAAAATCAAAGGACAATTAAACCAGAGTATGGTCAATAAAGTTTGAGAGCAACTAATGGTAGATGTCGTGTCGGCAAGGGATAAGATCAATGGTGTTGATTGCACTGGACCATGCTTTAACCGTGAGGATCGTAGTCTACTTATTTTCACGAGTATCTACCAAGTACCAACCAGTCAATAGCTCTTTGAAAACTATTTTATTTATACTCTCGTGGTCATGGAGAGTCTACTTACTTCCCAACACAAGCCAAAATAGACACAGAAATGGAAGAGTTTTTGTCTCTCATTACTATGATTGTGTTGCTTCTTCTAGCTTCGTCTGGATTTGGAAAATGCAGCAGCGATGTTTATAGCAAGAGCGATTTCCCGGAAGGTTTCGCTTTCGGAGCCGGGATATCTGCTTATCAGGTAAGCAAGCAATCCCATCCTTCTTCTCCTTTGTCTTTTCTTTCTTTCGATTATCTATAAATTTTGGTTTCTCAAAGTGGGAAGGAGCCGTTGATGAAGACGGTAGGAAGCCTAGCGTCTGGGATACTTTCCTTCACTCTCGTAAGCCTTTTCCTATCTTATTTTGCTATATTAAGAAATCATATAAATTTTATTCAATCGATCACTTTTACATTAAAACATCGTTAACTAAAACTAATTCAACTAATAAAAAACATACCGTAGAATAAAAATGGTCAAAAAAAAAACTTTTTGCATAGAAACTTGAAACATCACTTCAAGTGAAAAAAAATAAAAATTATCCTAAAACAACAAAATTGAAAGTGAAGAAGTATATGTTTTTATTTGGCAGGTAAGATGGATAATGGAGACATAGCTTGTGATGGATACCACAAGTACAAGGTTATTTCTCTGTCTATACATGTTATATTCATTAAGCAAAATTGGCTTTGGCATTGTTATCAAAGATGTTCTTTTGGCTTTGTAGGAAGATGTGCAGCTCATGGCCGAAACTGGCTTACATGCATTCAGATTCTCCATCTCTTGGTCTAGACTTATATCTAGTAAGTCTTTCTTTACCATGCTTGACCGCTTTTTCTTGCTTTACTTCAAGGGATAAAATTTTTGAGCTCTTGTCTCATTAGATGGAAGAGGTTCCATTAACCCGAAAGGTCTACAGTTTTACAAGAATTTCATTCAAGAACTTGTCAAACATGGTAACACCCGTCTTTAACTCTTCTTCGGCGGTATTAGACATTTCTTGTACTTCCTATTAACTGGACTAATTGTAATTTCATTGCAGGAATTGAGCCACATGTTACACTCCATCACTACGATCATCCTCAGTATCTCGAGGATGACTATGGAGGCTGGATCAACCGCAAAATCATGTAGAGCGGCATTTACTTTGCTTCTTCTTTCACATATTTCCACAAAAATAATCTGAAAAATGAAAAGCTTCTTGTTATTTGTCATTGCAGCAAAGACTTTACTGCTTATGCAGATGTTTGCTTCAGAGAGTTTGGGAACCACGTCAAATTCTGGACCACAATTAACGAGGCTAATATATTCAGTATTGGAGGCTACAACGATGGGAATTCTCCGCCTGGTCGTTGCTCCTTTCCGGGCAGAAGCTGCTTGTTAGGGAACTCTTCCATTGAAACATATATTGTAGGCCATAACTTGTTGCTCGCGCACGCCTCTGTTTCAAGACTATATAAGCAAAAGTACAAGGTAAGCTTGCTTATACATGTATCTATTTCTTAGATAACCCTCTCTTGAATGTGATGAAAATGGAGTAAGGTGTTATATATGTAATGTGCAGGATATACAAGGAGGTTCTGTAGGCTTTAGTTTATTTTCAATGTATTTTACTCCTTTTACAAGCTCCAAGGATGATAAAATCGCAACGAAAAGAGCCAACGATTTCTACCTCGGATGGTGAGTCAGGCACAAACAAACTCAAGCAACATATCCAAGGTTTTAACTGAAAAGAAAAGAAAAATGTACTCTTTGAAAACTTAATCAGGATGCTTGAGCCTCTTATATATGGAGACTATCCCGATGCGATGAGAAAAACCATTGGATCACGACTGCCAGTTTTCTCAGATGAAGAATCAGAACAAGTTAAAGGCTCATCTGACTTCATAGGAGTCATTCACTATGTTACGGCTTCGGTCACACACATCGATATCAACCCTTCTCTTTCGGGAATCCCAGATTTTAACTCAGACATGGGCCAATCTATTAATAGTATGAACCAAACTCAATCTATTGAATATTTTCTAAAAAAAAAACTCTAAGCTCTTTTATCTTGGTATTTTGCTTTTGCTAATTATATTTTGTTTTCGTTTTATTGCTTGGGAATAACAGTTGCATCTATGAGGGTAAGAATTTCGAGGCTACCAAAATCAGATGAAAAGTTCCTAATATTCCTTAAAGGTTAAGTGTTCCCAATCCTTTTTTACTAGTTGTTGTGTTTGTTTTTGTTTGGACAAGACTGTTGTTTCTCCATGGGCTATTGAAGGCATCCTAGAGTATATAAAGCAGAGCTATGGCAATCCTCCTGTCTACATTCTTGAGAATGGTCTCTCTCTTTTTCTATCTCTATTTCTATCCATCTCTCGTTTTTGTTGTAGTATGTTCAATTCTCTTGCCAATGCAAATGAATAGGTAAAACAATGACCCAAGATTTGGAGCTGCAACAAAAGGACACACCAAGGATTGAGTACTTAGATGCTTACATTGGTGCAGTGCTCAAAGCCGTTAGGTAAGTAAAGTGTTTCTTAATGCCTCTTATATTCTCTGCTCTTATCGGTGTATGAAAGAAACAAAGACATTGACTACATGTAGGAATGGATCAGATACGAGAGGCTACTTTGTATGGTCATTTATGGATTTGTACGAGTTACTGGACGGATACAAGAGTACTTTTGGATTGTACTCTGTCAATTTCAGCGATCCCCATCTCAAGAGATCTCCCAAACTCTCTGCTCATTGGTACTCAGGTTTTCTCAAGGGAAATAACACCTTTCTTGCTTCCCAAGGCATAACGCAATTGCATAGCAACTTCTCTTCTTCCTCATAATACTAGCTAGTGTTGCTATTAATTATGGTGTATCCGGTTCAGTTTATAGTCAGATTCTTGAATAAAGAGTATGTATAATAAGAGTACTGAAAACACAAGCACACATCCCCTATACAATAAAAAAACTTTTAATGTGATTATATTTACATCGTATGTCATTAACATAGTTAAAATAATTGTATTAAGAAATGAAAAAATGATTTTTCAAATTAATTGAAGATCTTCATTATTTTCTTTAATGGTTAATTAAGTAAATAGTAAACCGACGAAACCCAAGACTGTGAGTTAATAGATCTCGAACTATTAATAAAGGATATTTAGATATACAACTTTTATTTCGATGACAAATAGGTATAGAACTTTTTTCGGGGATATATAAATCGGGGTCATACTTTGGGCTATTACTTGGTTTGATGCAATAGTTTTCGTGGGAAAATAGCTCGTTCCCCTATCATAAGCATCTCATAACTTGTTTTATGTAAAAATATCCTCAGTCAATTTTCCAATCTTCACATTAGTACCATCATTGGTAATGACAGTTTGTGAACTCTCTTGCCATACCTTGTACTTCTTGCACCATTGTAGATGCTTCTGCAGATTTGAAGTCGCAAAAGACCTTGGAGATGCAAACATTTTTGAACAATAATGATAGTGGCACTTGTTTGTCTTCGTTGTCCTTGATTCTCGTGTAATGCTCCCACACTGTAGACCTTGTTTTCTGTTCTATAGTGCCTTATAACTAGAATCACCTTTCCATTTGACTTCCTTGCCTCTATTATAAGGAGCCTTCAAATCCTCTTATGCTCCTAAACAGCATTGTCTTCTCATATTGAGGACGAATCCATCTAAAAGAGAAGAAGTATAATTATCTCACAATTGAGAAACTAAATCAATAGAGGCGATAATCAGAACTGAACAATCATAACCATCATCGCTGAATCATACAAAGAAGTTACTTCAAGTAAGAACACAAAAATGAGCAATAAAAATCATTAAGATATGAACAGAGAGTTAGAGACTCAAGAACAAAGTGATGGTTGTGAACTAAATCAAAACTTAATTTTAAAGCAATACAGACGGGATATACAAAGAACAAACAATCAATACAAAAAAAAAAAAATCAACAGAGATGAGATCAAAGGGAGAACTAAATAAACGAAGAACAAGACTGATACTTTTATTAACAAACACCGGAGGCCTGGGAAAAAAACGTCTAATCGAACAACCGACCAAACCGAACCGGAAAAAACCAAACCGTATCCGAACCGAAGTTTTTAAAATAACCGAATGGTTAGTAAAATTCTCAATCCAAACTAACCGAAACCGAACCAAACCGATAACCAAACAGTTAGCCGGAATTTCTAAAAACCTAAGATACCCAAAAATAATACCCAAAACTATAGTTATAAACTCAAAATCTATATATACATTTTTGGATCACAATTATCAAATAAATCCTGAAGTTGAGAAGTATTTACAATGGCATGCCATTAGCATTAATTATTTAGATTTGTTTTATTTAAGTAAAGATTTTTAAATGAAATTCATTTCTCATATATTTAGCAAAAGTCTCTACAAAATCTTTCCTTATCTATTTAAGTAAAGATTTTGAAATCAAATATGTTCTCAACAATTTACAAAAATCTCTACACAATCTTTTTAAAAATCTCGACTTAGTTAAGTTCTGATTTTTATCTGCAAAAAAAAAAAATTAAAAGTAACGAGTGATGTAAAAATCGGGAATGTTGATACTACAATTTCTTCTACTTCTTTTTTTTCATATAATGAAAATTATTTTTTAGGGATATTTTCTCAAAACCTCTAAATAAAACAAAGGGTTTCAAAAGATAGCTTCTCTTTTGGCGGGTCGACCCGCAAACCCGCAACTCTCTACGGGCTTATCCGCATGAACCTACGACCCGTAGTGGATAAAAATATTATTAAAAAAAAAATAACAAATGATGTTTAATTTTACGGGACGGGGTTATATGGTGCAACGGGTTTGGATCGATATTAATATTAAACAATATACTATGGATGAAATCCTAGAATTAAAAATCAAAATTTAATTATAAAATCAGAAACACTAAAAAAAATAAACAATATTAACAAAACAAATACAACTTAAAATTTTGCTAAATAATTTTTTAGTTATAAAAAAATCGACCCGCGGTGTACCGCGGGGTAAAATCTAGTATTAATTATTTTTAAAATCAAATACTTTAAATAATCAAAATATCAAAATATTGTTTGTTATATTTGTCAAAGTTAAATACTCTTTTACAAAATTGAATCAAATTTTAATTTTCTTTCTAAAATTTTTCTTTTTTTGTATTTTCTTTTTGTATTTTTTTCGGTTAATTTCGGTTAGTTTCGGTTATATTCGGTCAATTTCGGTTATTTTGGGTAAAATCCGAACCAAACCGAACGTGATAAAATTAGTTACGGTTATCTATTTAAATATCCAAACCGAACCGAACCGAACTGAAATTCCTAAAATATCCGAATGGTTATTATATTATCTATCCGAACTAACCGAAATCGAACGCAAACGAATCAAAACCGAACGGTTAACCGAATGATTTGTATATGGCCGTTGATTTCTGCTTATGTTCTTGGGATAAAAAGGTCATCTTCGGATCGGGTCTCCATTGGTATAGGCCCTTGAGAGTCCCCTTAAGTAAATTCTTAGTAGATATGGGTTTGACCGCATCGTTGGTAGGTTATGGGCTTCAGTATTGGCCATGATCCACTTTGTGCATGCTCTGATTCTTACTTGGTTCTTTTTTCTTAAAATCTTCTTAGTTAGTTGGGATCTATGTCATATCCCATCTTATATCGTCAGTCTAAATAACTGAACTATTTGAGGCCGGTCTACACTGACCACATCAAAATCAGTCGTCTCTTCTTCGACCTTGATATGTTCCCACAGAAAGTTTATCTCCCATTTATTTTTTGGCTATACTACTCATCCATATGCCTCAGCTTCAAGTTCACTGATGTGAGATCTCCATATGTTCCATATCCTCTAAGTTTTTGTCTAAACAATAGTCAGATGTTGCCCCAAATTTGTCAGAATTATCGTCGTATCTTGCAAAACAATTTTTGAAAATTTTCACTTCATCTCTCACTCTTCTCTTCGTCTGCACCATTAGAGTGAAAAATCATGTCAATGTCTTCAGAGAAGACTCTATTCCAATCCAATCCCTTAAATGTGACGGAAAAATTAAAGTTCAGAGCCGACTTGCTCTGATACCAAATAAAGTTCAGAGCCGACTTGCTCTGATACCAATTCAAATCAAGATCACCTTATCTTGACTGCTCTGATGCCCAATTCAAATCAGGATCACCTTACCCTGACTTAGTCACTGAATGATTCGGAAAGTGATTCAGCAACACGAGAACAAGAGATTAAAGAACAACCTTTCTTTATTGATTTAGAAACTTCACAAAACTAAATCTCTCTCTTATGTCCTCTCTGAGGTCTTATGGAACAACTCTCCATAGCCTCTCTTATTCTCTCTTTAGGTCTTATGGAACAACTCTCCATAGCCTTTTCTTCTCTCTTTAGGTCTTATGGAACAACTCTCCATAAACCTCATTGATCTAGTCTTATGGATCTACTCACCATAGACTCTTCTCCTATATAGAACTTAGCTACCCCTAAGTCTATATGAGTCCCTTCCTCTAGACTCTCATGAGGTCCTTCTCGACTCTCATGTGTCTCGACTCCTCATGAGTCTCGACTCTCTTCTTGAGCTCTCCTCTTGAGCTGCACGAGCTCCCCGCTGAGCTGCCTTCACGAGCTCCCTCTGAGCTGCTCTCACGAGCTCTCCTCTGAGCTACCCTCTGAGCTATCCTCTGAGCTACTTCGGCTATACGAGCTACTCGAGCTCCTTGAGCTCCTCTGAGCTGTTCGAGCTCCCCCTGAGCTGAGCTGTTCGAGCTCCCCCTGAGCTGAGCTACCTTCCTTCTTCTTCATAAGGGTCATATATATAATAGGACAAAGCTTCTCCTTTGCCTATTGTGAATAGGAAGACTTACAAATCTTGTCCAACTTGACATTATTTGTATTTCCTTTTCTCTTGATTTCCTTTCTTGTATCTCTTCTAGCATCTTCTAGAAGGAGATAACTTGCTCCTCAAGATAGTTGGAATTATCCAACAAAAATGTGGTTGATTTCATGGAAAATCCCCATTTCTCGCATGCTTCTGCGATCTCTCATATTCGTCATCTTGTTACAATAACGAGTTGATGGTCGATATCTCAGAGAAAAAATTCACTAAAATTTGTATGATCAGTGTTGAATCTGTGTTCTAGAGACTAGAGCAACATGAAAATTTAAAATGTTCATGTTGATTTATGTAAGACGCCTAAATGACCAAATCAACCTGTTTAATTTCTAATTATGAACACACTATGCTATTTATATTCTAACAGTTTACGTCAAACATTTTCTCACACTTCTAACAAAGGAAAAGTGTTAGAAAACTATTTGCGTATAACGTAAAGAAAACAAAATTAAAAAACACAAATCATTCAAACACTTATCCTTTTTTTTTTTCTATATACAATTTACCTTCTTTAAAGATAGGGCCTCAAAACGACAAAACATACTAAAATTTGTATGATCAGTGTTGAATCTGTGTTCTAGAGACTAGAGCAACATGAAAATTTAAAATGTTCATGTTGATTTATGTAAGACGCCTAAATGACCAAATCAACCTGTTTAATTTCTAATTATGAACACACTATGCTATTTATATTCTAACAGTTTACGTCAAACATTTTCTCACACTTCTAACAAAGGAAAAGTGTTAGAAAACTATTTGCGTATAACGTAAAGAAAACAAAATTAAAAAACACAAATCATTCAAACACTTATCCTTTTTTTTTTTCTATATACAATTTACCTTCTTTAAAGATAGGGCCTCAAAACGACAAAACATACTCGATGATCTGATTAAAAGCTTGAAACCTACCCATACGTTCAAATTAATACGACCAAACACTTGAAATACCCATACGCTTAAAATACGATCAAATTAATTACGGCTGTAGTATTATGTATACACAATAAATGCAAATCTCACGGCAGATTCATCTCCAATTATTAAGCGAAACAGAGAGGTTTGAACGAATTCACGTGGTTCTATAAAATGTTATATATTAGTATAATATTAATATGAAATTAGTCAAATTACTAATGACACGTTATCGACCACCAAATGTAAATTATTTTTGGTATATATTTTTTTTTTTTACTTCTGAGTTCTGATCCCTATATATCTATTTACTCACGATATTTATTTATTCTATTCTGAGAATGACCCAATCTCCATAGTAATTCGATAAGTTGGAATTACATTTATCTTTTATTCTCTCTGTTACAAAATGTTTTAGAGATTTTCTTTCTCAATCTATTTGATTTCTCACATTTCTATGCAACAAATCATACATATAAAAGTAAGGTTTCACTCTCTCATGATTGGTCCACTTGGCATTTTTAAAATTATAATATTTATTTTCAATTAAACTTAAAATCTAATATATTTAATCATATACATTTAAATCTACACTTTACTACTCAATTGTAACTGAAATTACATAATTGTGAATTGACTATTTTTTTCTCTATTCATTGTCATTTAAACACACTATAATTATAATTGTAACTCCTATAATCTAATTAGTTTAGAAATGTAACTTCCATATTTTCCTATAAATAACCATTCTCACATACCTCCATCATATCTCAAATCCTAAATATTCTCTTTGTTTTGTTTATGTTCTTGCATGAGTTGAAAACTCAATATCATTGTAAAGTTCTATTTAATATAAAATCCTAAAGTATATTTTAAAATAAAGCATAAGATTATAATGTTATAAAATCTCATTGCTAAAAATAATACAAACTCAAACAATTTAATGGAATTCTATAAATTTGTGTTAGGGTTAATACAACAATGGTAGTGTTTAGATTTGATTAGTTGCTAGGGCTAGAAATTTAAGATATATGGTTTAGACTTTAGAGTGTAAACGTGTAGTATGAGCATTTCTGGTATAAATCTTCTTAATATGTTAGTCTCCTATTCCTAATATTGAAAGTTAGTTGGCAATTTCCTCTAAATATTCAAAGTAATTATAGGTCGTTAGGAAAAGATATGGACATATGGCCGCATAAGCTAAGAAAATGATTGTTTTTCTTTGATTTTACTCGTGTCTCGTGATAGTATCAAAGTAATTGTTATTTTTTTAGTATTCTAAAACATGTTTAAGTAACATTTATAGCATTACCTCTATTAATTAGAGTTCAAATAACTACAAGTCCTAGACATTCGTTCAAACAAGCTTGAAAACACTGATTCTTCTTATTATTATTATTATTATTTTTGTTACAACGAATTCATTTACTTTAAGCGAAAAAAAGGTTTTGGGGTAAAAATGGAGAATTTAATCATTTCGCCTAGTAGATTTCACATTCCTACAAACTAATGCATAATTTATAACAATATAGGGACAGCTGCCGCGACTACCTTCTACTTGGATCAATCTGATGTAGCTAGACTTCAACTTTCTTTCATTTTTTATTGGTTTTTCTAGAAGTTTCTTTATTCAAACTTTGTTATATTTCATTAAAAAAAAAAAAACTTATGATGCTATGAAATTTAGTATTTGGACTTTTATATGATCCTTTATTATCTCGTGGACGGCAAGTTTAGGTTTTTGATTAATTAGAGAGAGTTCTTCGTTTTTCTTTTTAATCGACGAAATTTTTGGAATAAACTATTGACAAGACAATGTCAAGTTTTAGTATCTTGATCTTCGGATCAATGAATCCTCTTTGTGTTATTTCGCTTCGGCTCTATCACGTACAATTCGTGTTTATATACATACGAAACACAATCTCTCTTTATCGGAAAAAAAAAAAAGATACACAATCTCTCGATCTCTATGTTAAAAAATATTACTTCATTCTGATTCACATTCGGAAAAAAAAATATCGTTTATAACTCACACACTATCGAATTTGAATACACAATTAAACCATAAGTTCTGGTCCATGCAAAGAATTGGTATATCGTATAACCCATAACTTTTATTAGTATCACACAGATAAAAGTAAAATCAATAATAATTCATTAGTACATTTAATAATGTCTGTGTTATAGATACAAAAATAGAATTAAAACAAGAAGGCAGATAATATTATCTGAGAAAACCAAAAATAATTCGTGTAGATACGGTCATGTTTTTTTTTTTTTTTTTTTTTTTTTTTTTTTTTTTTTTTTTTTTTTTTTGTTAAACTAGAGCGATTAGGTTAAAATGTGAAAGAATCATTTTTATTTCGCACGTGAAAAACAACCAAGCTTTTTATGACCACAAGGCGCTGTCTGATTGGCTCAACTATAAATTTAATTAATAAAAAATTATGATACCAATAATTACTAGCTCTATAAATACGTAGCCACTCTCTAGGTTGCATGACTCACAAATCAACCATAACATCTTCTTTCTTCTTACATTTGAGCAAAGTTTTTTCTTCCTTTCATATTGTGAGAATGTCCCAAACCAATATGAAATTTTGCAATAGTTATTTTCTGGTCGATCCGACCAAAGCAAGCTTTCTTGATCTCCTTCTCCTTTTGTTTTCCTTCAACCTGACCAGCGCAAGATTCATCGATTCTCCTCCGGATACCCTCAAAAGCTTCCGGAGAAGTTTCGCGAGTCGATGGATCCTTGCGTTGGCCATATTGCTTCAAAAAGTATTAATGCTCTTGAGTAAACCTTTTGCATTAATTGGTCGTTTGCTCACATATTGGCTCAACCTTCTTACGGCAAATGGAGGCTTCTTCAACTTGATACTTAACCTTGTGACAGGTGAAAAATCTAACAATAAAGCATACTTAATTCTTTATATTTACGTATCACTATTACCAAATTCTTGAACTCGAAGAAGGTTAAATGTTTTTAATTTCCTTTTCTTACATATGATATATAGTAGCCCAAATTTTTTAATAAAATCAGTTCAAAGATCTCAAGGACCAAATATCATATAGTTCCACATATAATAATCTCCATGGACTTCTGGACAAGGACCAAATGACACTTACCACATATCAAACGGATTTGAGACAGACCAAAAATTCCTCTACATTCAAGAAGCTATAGCACACCGATACAAAAAACAAACAATTTATGGATACATTGCATCAAGATTGTAATTTGGTTAAACAACCAAAAGAGTTTAATCTCTTATAATTAAGAACATGACTGGAATTTCGAGACAACTAATTCAACTATTTTCATTTTTATTGATGGTGTTTCACAAGTATTTTTACAGGACTAACCCCTAAAGGCTGGATTTGTAACAGGAAAGCTGGTGAAACCTGACAAATCTTCGGCGACATATACTTCGTTTATAGGATGCTCGGATCGACGAATAGAGCTTGACGAGAAGCTAAATGTTGATAGCATCGAATACAAGTCGATGTTGTCAATAATGGCTTCTAAGATCTCTTATGAGAGCAAATCTTTCGTCAATTCCGTCGTCAAGAACACTTGGAAGGTGAACTTCATTTCTTCTTCTTCTTTTAACTAGCTAGGTTTTTTATTTAGTTAAGATCTTTGTTTTACTTCTCACTCTCTCTATATGACTCTACGTCTTTATCTTGTGATCCAGATGGACTTGGTGGGTAACTACGACTTTTACAACGGTAAATTAAAATGCTACACTTTATTCTTCTTAAGAAAGTTTATTTATTTCCCATTTCAGGGATTAAGGCATTCTCTGTAGTTTTGGCTCTTTTGGGTTAATTAAACTCCTTTTGGTATATGAATAATCAAAGCCTCAAAAGTGGTATATACTCGTATGCCTTTGATTTTCTTTCTATTACTAAAAAATGAAAGGCATTTATATAATTTGTTTTACACTATAAATAGATGTAAGATGTACGTAGGACATTAAATATACTCGTAACAGAAAGAAAAAAGGAGGTAAAGTGAACATTTTTTATATATCAAAAAGAAAAGAAAAAAAAAAGAATTAAAGTATTTACCAATAGAGAAACAAATTATATAAATGCCTTTCATTTTCTCGTTTTTGATAATACGACAGAAACAGTTCTACGAGATCATGATGCTATAAATGTAAAATAGTTCTTTCTATATCATAATTAAATACCAACTAAGCAAGGGATCCCTACTGATTTTAAATGTGTTGTCTGATGGATATAAAATAGAAGTGTATTTAATGAATATAGAAGTAGAAATAACGATTTCAAGTAAAACCTGTATAAAATAATAATGTCTGGATCATTAAATTTATTAATTTATAAAGCTTAGTTAAAAAATCAATTTGATCAATTTGTTTCTGGATTAAATTTTATTTTCTAATATCGTCAAAAACCTTACTATTTAATATAAATCACAAATATTAAAATATAAAAGTAATGCTATCTATGAACTAGATATTTTTGGAACTCAGTTAAAGTTTAGGAAACGATTAACATTAAAAGAGTTCATGTGCACTTTAATCAAAATTAATCAATAAAAACAAATTTTAATATATAAAAAGTATTTGTTTGTAACTTACATATAAATTCTACCGGATTTAAATTCGAGTTACAATAAACCGATGATAATAGTGAAAATTACTAGGCTACATGGTCCGGTAAAATATTGAGATATATTCAAATTGCCACTATAGTTTAAAATATTTTTTTTCAAAAAAGATCGGTTTTAAAAAAAGAATCATAATATTATAAAGATATATATTTTTTTTGTAAAACCTTACTTTGCATAGAATACACGTCAAAAACCTTAGGATAACATATTATTTTAAATCTATGCATGTTTTTGATTCTGTAAGTTTGGTGCACTTGTGGGCAAATTTTTAAACTATATTGGATATTTGGTCAATATCTTGGTTGTAGTTTTTGTTTAACCATTCATAATCATGTACTAAATATTCGTAAGAGAACAAATATAATAAGAATAAAACTGGTGACCCAAAATCAAAAGTCACGTGTTTTGTCCGGGTTTAGCAGCTAAGATTCTTAAAGTCAAATGCTGGATGATATTGATAGTAGATCGATTTTTTTTTAATGATAAAATTTGTAGAATATCAATTTCTTGTTAGGTTAGGAGATTGATTTATTGAAAATAAATGTTTCTCTTTTTCTATTAAACCATAAATCTTTACTTAAGCGATGAAAACAACAACAATAATATATATATATAAGAACGTGCAGAAGAAATATAGATTAACAACAAGCAAGATCTTTTTTTTTTGTCAAGCAAAATATTTAGTTCAGAAAATTATCGATTCTAAAGGTCTTGAAGATAACTTATAATTATAAAAGTTTCTATCTTTTCTAATCATTATTCCTACAACATCAAATTTGCAAAATATAAAATTTATATAGAACCTTGAAATATAATTCTGTAGATATTCTAAGTTTTTATTTCTATGGTCAGCTTTCCAAGAAAGTAAATTGACGCAAGCCTTCGTGTTCAAGACTTCAAGCACCAATCCAGACCTCATCGTCGTTAGCTTCAGAGGAACCGAACCTTTCGAGGCTGCCGATTGGTGCACTGATCTCGACCTCTCTTGGTACGTATATATATGTGTTCTGTAGTGTAATAAATAATTACTCTTCTGAATTCATATGTAAATTAACTAATAGATTTTAAATTAGGTACGAGTTGAAGAACGTTGGCAAAGTCCACGCCGGGTTCTCAAGAGCTTTAGGTCTCCAAAAAGATGGAGGATGGCCCAAGGAAAATATAAGTCTTCTACACCAATATGCTTACTACACCATCAGACAGATGCTTAGGGACAAGCTTGGCAGAAACAAGAACCTTAAGTATATTCTAACAGGTCACAGCCTTGGAGGAGCACTAGCTGCTCTTTTTCCGGCGATTCTAGCGATTCACGGTGAGGATGAGCTGCTAGATAAGCTAGAGGGAATCTATACGTTTGGACAACCACGTGTAGGGGATGAAGATTTTGGAGAGTTTATGAAGGGTGTGGTGAAAAAGCATGGAATTAAGTATGAGAGATTCGTCTATAACAATGATGTTGTTCCTAGAGTGCCTTTTGATGACAAGTTATTATTCTCATACAAGCACTATGGACCTTGCAATTCCTTCAACAGTCTCTACAAAGGAAAGGTACATTAAAGCAGCCTCTATCCAATTATTGGGTTTTTTTTGTTTGTCTTGCTATATTATTTAGAAAGACAAAGAATAAAGAGGGTAAATATTAGTCAATAATTAACTCTTAAACCCTAACACTAATTTTATTTTATTTTATTTTAAACTCTATAAAGTAGATCTTAAAAGCGAAAACGGCATTACTAAAAGAGCCTCTCCTAATCACATTTATCGTGCTATATTAGATAACTGTACTCCAGATTGGCTCAAGACCAATTATTGAGAAGGATTCTTACTATATTTGTACATGGTAATCTCAATGATAATTAGTAAGTTTGAGTTTTTTTAAAAAATGCGAAAACGGTATTCCTTAAGTTTTTGTTTAAAAAATTATATGTATTTTTTATTTAATTTAGGCTGTTTTTAGCTTTTTTGTTTCCTTAATTGTCCATTTTATTATATACATTCTTGGTGCATGATTATGGATATTTGTTTATGTTGGTTAGGTAAGAGAAGATGCACCAAATGCAAACTACTTCAACTTGTTGTGGTTAATACCGCAGCTGTTGACTGGTTTGTGGGAGTTTATAAGAAGTTTCATATTACAGTTTTGGAAAGGCGACGAGTACAAAGAGAATTGGTTGATGAGATTTGTTAGGGTTGTGGGAATAGTGTTCCCTGGTGGCTCTAACCATTTCCCATTTGATTACGTCAACTCTACGCGTCTAGGAGGCTTGGTTCGACCTCCTCCTAGTACTACTCCTGAGGATAAACTTGCCCTCATTGCTTGAACTCTCAATGTTTAATAATCCTATCCACTTTTATCTGCCCTAATGTGGTTAAATAATTGTACTTGAGCTTTAATTTATTCTCTGTGTTATATATCTTGTGTACGTGAGTTTTTTTTTATTTTTATATCGTGTGTATGTTGGTAATAAGACTATCTACTTTTTCTTATCTTCTGATTAACCAGATGAAAAGTATTCCTCCTGGATTACACTATCTCCAATGAATATATGCGATGCCTCTTTTTCTCGTTTTCTTTGTTTGGGCCATAAAATGTGATGCCTCTTTAAGTGGTGGGTCTTTTATTGACATGATGCCTAATGTAGATAGGTCAGGCGTTAATATGAAGTCTGTCTAATTCTGGAATCATCCTATATAATTAGAAATTTTTCTTTGCCATTATTATTATTATTTTTTTTTTTTTTTTTTTGACACCCTTTTTCTTTGCCATTAAATGTTCACATAATCAAGGAAAATAATCTTATACTCCATTAAATAATCTAATAATCTAATACTACTCCATTAAATAATTTTTCTTTCCCATTAATTGTTCACATAATCAAGGAGTAGAAACTAAAATGAAATGACGTAATATTAACTTTTAGATTTTTGACTTGAATGATTTCAGATTTTTAGAAGCTGCATTTAGCCTTGTAGAATTTTACTGCTTCAAATTCTACTAATTATGATGTAGAACATTTAAAAAAAAAATCATTTGCTTTTGGATTTATACATCCAAATTTCAACAGCACACAAAATAAGGCTCTAAGTTTTTTTTTCCTTTCGTCTAACTCTCCGTCGTTTTCTCTCCTTGCCATTTTATCATTTCGTTGTTAACAAAGCAATATATATTTTTCTTGAAAAATAATATATACCATATATTTTAATACATATAATTTAAAATTTTCTATAATAGGTAAAATAATATATAAAATAATATTTATTATTTTATTTAAGTTTTTGAATGATGTATTTAAATTTTTAATAAAATTATGTATGTGTTCAGATTATATTAATTTATTATTTCTCAGCTTCAAAGTAAAATGGAAAATTTTGAATAATTTATTTATATTAAACTCTTTTCATAGTACATATAATAAAATGTTGACAAAAAGCTAATACACAACTAATATATACAAATCATGCTGTCATTTATTGAAGTCACATAAAAAATTATACCTATACAAAAAAAATTTCAATGTAATTTTTTGTTGTCAACCACACACTAATTTAAAGAATCAGTCCATGATTGGTAGATCAATCAGGAGGAAAAAAGTTTACAAATGAAATATCAAAAAATAAATTTCAAGCTAGACAATCTGCCTGAGAATAACAAGAACAAGGAATATTATAAACCCTTCAATGTAATTGCTACACCAAAAAACTTAGAACTAAAACCTAATTTATATTATTTTAATTAAAACTAATTAGAGTACACAATAGTTAATTAATACTCCCTCCGTATTTTAATAATTGTCGTTTTAGAATTTTTATTTTTTTGAATTAGATGTCGTTTTCAAATTTCAATGCAAAATTTCTTACTTTTTAATGTTTTATGATGTCATAAAACATTAAAAAGTAATAAATTTTGCATAGAAATTTGAAAACGACATCCAATTCAAAAAAATAAAATTTCTAAAACGACAACTATTAAAATACGGAGGGAGTATCTAATAAATTATAGTTAAAAAGTGAATAGATATTGGACGGAAAAAAAACGTGTTGAAAACATATATAATCACATACTCAATTATAAAAACATATATAATGTGTGGTTGACAAAAACAAATATATAAAAAATTTAGTTTTAACAAAGGAAGAGTTCACTCTCCATCTACTATCTCCACCTAAAAAAGCTACATTAAAGTTGCTTATTTAATGTGTACTATTACTTTTAAATAATAAAATTAAAAAAAAAAAAAACTAAAATACACCATGAAAAAAATTAAGAAACTCGGATACATTAGATCTATTTTATACGACAAGTACACACCTATGGAATTGCATGCACTATTGAAGTTAGAACTGGAATATGTCTGACATTTTGTAGTTTAATCTCATCATTCTAATTTTCGATATGTCGAGAATTGAGCTTGCATTATATCGAACATTTACACCAATGAAATTGATTGTTGTTGTTTTATGGACTTTCTGGCGGACGTTGAGTATTTTTACAGAATTTTATTCTATAACTAAAATTCAAAATCATATAGCCCATTACGAAAGGCCCATAAATAAGAACTAATCGCAATTTGTATATCAAGTCAACCATAAATAAATTTACATGTACATTAATTTTGTTTGTCAGTGTTAAGAAAATTATTTAATAACTAATATTTTACGGTATTTCAATTATTTTCAAACTTATGTCATGTAATCAAATACAAATATTTAACAATTTTTCATTTTCCCCCATGACATTGATAACACCTAAGACGCGTATACTATGTAGCAGCATATGTAGTATAAAGCATAGATTACAAATACATTTTGTCAAGAACCTGAAAACTAGAAAAGTTGGGGTAAAGCTTAGAACATTAACATGAATCATACAATGATGCATATGTGATCGGTAGGTAAAGAGAGTTTGTCCTCTCAAGGGATCAATTCACCTCTAAACACCCTGAGGGCGAGCTAACAAAGGTGGAAAGGGGTGGACTCATCCCCAGGATTTTACTCAACTAAGAACTAACATACAAATGTACTAAGCGGCTCATGTATTGAAATCAATTACCAGCTACTAACTATCAAAAGTACTATTACAAGCAAGAATTAGAAAACCAAATATTAAGCGTACGCATCAGTGAAGAGTCTCCATTTACCGTATTTTTCTTCGAAAAACGGCAACTAGAATACATGGCAGGTGAAGCAACCACCAAGGGAAGGAATCCTCTTCTTCCCTCTTCTTTTGAACGATGAAGCCTTACCATGGGATGCGTTTGAGACTCGATTGTCTATCACCGACCTCCTCATCTCCTCCGCTCTCTTTTCTGCTGATTTCACTTTTCTCATAATCTTTTCCATTGACGATGATCTTTTCTTTTCCAATTTCATCTGTGAAAAATATTTCTGACATTAGTTAGTCTAGGAGTGATACACAAGCAGTACCTATAAACACATTTATTACTTAAGCCGTTATTGGTACTAATTGCAATTGTTTTTATGCTTAAAGCCTCATTTTTTGTGCTTCAGCAAAAAATAAAAGACAGGATAAGAGTAAAGAACCTCTAGCTTTCTTATTGCTGCCTCCGCCTTAGCTTTCTGCAAATTTTCCCAAGATATGATTCTGGCTTCTTCTGTCTTCGTGCTACATAAATAGAAACTTTCAATCAAAATTCCAAGTCTAATCCATTCATATGACAATCTGTGATGGTGGGCATTGGATTAACTGTGACGCTGAGCCATATTAGATATGCCATGCCTATTTAGATCACGGCGGAATTTATTTGTACGTGAAATGGAAAAGGGAAAGACCCTCTAACAGCTTAGAACATTACCATGTCAAATCTTGAGGGTTCCTAGCTTTCCCATGTAAGTGGTCTCGCATTTTTGAGCCATTTCCATGGTATAGGCCTCTGTGCTTCTTTGACCAGCGAGTTACGGTTACCTTCTCATCAACCTTTAAGTCCTTGACTTCTGCTCGGTTGGAATGAGCATTAAGTAGTTCTGAAATAGGTAGTGCTGATGGAGAGGAGGGAGAGAACGAACACTGTCTATCAGGGGAAAAGCGGATGCTTCCCTCGGGACTCATCTGGGTTGCCATATCCCTTCTTGAGACAGCTTGAGGATCAGTAGCAGCATCCTTAATACTTTCATGGATGTCATCTGTACATATTGGTAACATATCCGTAAGCACTTACCAGACCAGAATTTCAAAATGATCATGATTTTGTAACGATCAATAGAGCAAGATAATGATGTGGTCATGCATGAGTCCTTTTGTCCACTCTAATTGTAGCACAAAACCAATAGAAATTACGGAGAGTTTATAAAAATGGGTTACATAAGGTTGATCCGTCTATACCTTGGGCTGAGGCTGCAAGAGTTTCAGAGCAGCCATGCATGCTAACTGATCTAGCCATGCAAGGATCGGTCCGTTGTGGGAAGGCTGTTGCAGTAGAACCCCGAGAAGAGACAGTTTCTGGCAACACACCAGCTGAAAATGGAGAGCTAGCTGTTAAGAAGCCCATGTTCCCACCATGAACCATAGGAACCGCAGGCGAATACAAAGAATGATATGCAAATCCTGGAGGACCTAACGGACCACTCTTTGCTTTAGGTCGCCTTTCATGCGATGCTCCAAATGAAGTTCGGGCAGCTCCTTCCCTAGCAAGAGGACTAACTATCCATCTCTCTGCATCTTCCCACTTAGAAGGAACCGTTCTACCACTATACAAAGGTAAAAAACCAGCATTGGGCGGACTTCTTCCTCCATTTGAACGTAAAGGTACTCTCTCTGAACTCCAACCCTTTTGCATACTATGCAGATAAGACGGAGTTCCCGGACTAGGAAACACACTCGATTTATTAGTTGAAACTGAAGCTCTCTTAACATTCACCACTCGCGGAGACGAAGAAATTACATTACTAAGATCCAACGAAACAGTCCTTTGGTAATCTAACTTTTTCGCCAGCGCTTCAGATCTAGATCTTCGCTCCTGGCATTCTATAAACAGTTCAAATTAAAAAAAAAAACTGTGTGTTCTCTACAACTAATCAAAACCATGGCTGCTAAAGTATAAACTTTTTCCTTTTTTTCCCCTTTTGTTATGATGTAAAGTAAACTCACCTCTAAGAGCTACAGAAAAAGAACTCCTAGCTGAATCAAGATTCTGGCTCTCATCATCCTTATTCACCTCAAACTCCTCTTTCCAAGCTGCTTTTTCCCAGTAGAAAACAACAGAAAGTAAAAAGTAAGAGACACACAAAACATGAATTTTCAAAATTCCAAAAGCATATTGATCTCTTTTAGACTATTTTTGTCGCTTGTCTCGACAACTTTTAATCAAATCACTAGTAACACATTACAACACTATAA